GACTTAATTGACTCCATTCACATCATAACTACTCACTTCTCAGGCAACTATAGACAATCCTAATCATGTAGTCAGTCACGAATGAGCGATGAATTATACAGTTACTTTATCTTTCAGGACTGTATTTGCTGGAATATCTATGAACATTGGTAACTTAAAACAAAATAATCTACGGTAGCTTAAATCAATTTTATGCTGTAAAACCCAATCTTTACTTTCTGTTTGTAATAAAAACTGAAGGTACATGCAGAATGAAGTAAATTATTATTTCAATATATCACTCAAGTCTACGAATACAGTCACACCAAGATCATATGGGCTACCAAAAGTGCATAAAAAGGGTTTGCCTCTTCAACCAGTGTTAGACATGTGTAATTCCCTATATCACGCAACAGCAAAATGGTTGGTGAAGCTCCTAAAGCCGCTGCATAACAAACTAGTAACACAGAGTGTAAAAGATAATTATGAATTTATCGAAGGAATTAGAAATTTTGATGTGAATGACAAGTTTATGATATCTTTTGATGTATCCTCCTGGTTCACCAATGTATCGTTGACTGAGACAGTGGATTTTATATGCGATGAGATTACTGAGCGAAATATAGACATTAGCATTTCTGTATCCTAAATGAAGGAACTTATTCTAAGATGCACAATGAATTTTCATTTCTTGTTCAACAAGGAAAACTACAGAAAAACTGACTGTGTGGCTATGGGTTGCCAGTTAGGTCCAGTCCTAGCTGATTTTTTCCTAGCTAAGTTAGAGAATATACCACTACTGAAAAGAGTAATTAATGAGCTGGAATTCTACTGTCAATATATCGATGATACATTTCTAGTTATGGAAAACGAGGATAAAGCGATGAATATCTTCAATAAGTTCAGTGGTGCCCATTCAGCAATAAATTAAACCATAGAGAAAGAAATTAGTGACAGTATCGCATTACTATACGTCTTCCTGGCCAGGAAAGAGGATGATACACCAAGAAGGATTGTGTACAGGAAACCTACAACGACAAGTCAGCACACTCATTTTTTTGAGTTTTGCACCTCTGAAAGGCAAACGGGACTTGGTAAAGTATCTGGTTCATAGAGCTAGGATAATCTTCTCAAACAAATTCCTCAATGATAAGCTAAAGATTATTAGAGAATTACTTAGTAAAAATGGTTACCCAGAACAGTTCATTGAGAAAAATATGAATTTAACACCAAAACAAGCCAGAAAGGAAACAGCTTTTAAAAAGCCATTGTTCATAAACCTGCAACTCCTCGGTGATAATATCAGCGAAATAGTAACACTGCTTCAAAAAGAGTTCAGTGAAAAGAGTATTGATCAACACAGCAGAGGTATGTTGTCTCTTCGGAACCAATCCGATTTTACATTCGATCATTAACGACAAATTACCTAATTTCACTTCCTCCATGTGCATCTACCAGTTTGACTGCAGCTGAATAGCTAGCTGAATTGGGCGTACAGATAAGCAGATTCATCACCGCATTTCCGAACACCATTCTGTATGGTTAAGCAAACGACAAACAAGATCTATTCGCAGCTCTCTTTTAGCATACCTGTGACCATAAGGTTGATGTTAATACAGCATTTAAAATTATTCGTCGCATTGCAACTAATCTTAATATTAATTTACGTGTTTATCTTCTGCACACACCTGAAGCCACAAAAATCCGCCTAAAGAAACCAAACCTGTGTGTTCAAAAGAAATCCACACAGCCACTTCCCTTATCTTGACCCTCCCCCTAAGCCTCTTTCAAAAATTATAATTGTCCAAATTATTTTACCACCTTTTCTGACTACTTTGTCTTTAATTACAAGTTGTCATCGTCCGAATTATTTGATTTTTCTATGACTACCTACTACGTAATCAACTTGAACCCTCAATTGTTGCCTAAGTACTCTTCATTGTTCCAAAATTATGCATTACACAATGCACTTGTTGTAACCGTTTCTACCCCTTATGTGCATAAATTACTATTCATTATCAAGAAGCTACTCACCTTTTCATTGTTTATGGATCTTAAATATCATTGAACCAAAAGGGAAAACTACAAGTTCTAAAGTGAGGATACATCAATCTTGCCTATGAATTAATTCAAAAGTTTAAAATAAGACTTTTAAACTTGATGAAAGGATTTAGATAGTGGTTATATCAATTAAAGAGATAAATAGATAGTAGTGATTCATGTATCTACCTTGAAAGGCGAAGAAAATTCACAAAAATGCCTAGTTACAAAAAACCCTTTATCACCCACATATTGTGACCAAATAAATTTTTCTCAAGGCCTTTATCCCATAGTCTTTCTCTTAAAGTTACTTTTCTGCTTTTATTGATGCATAATGGATTGTGAAAATTATTTCTCTTAGAAATTCACTGCAGTAAGAGACATTGTAACATGTCAAGCAGAACACTAGTCACCATGTGCGTTGTTGAATAATGACAACAATTATTTAAGTGTTAATTTCCAAGGATTTGATTGATTACAGGATTGCATCATGAGATGATATCAGTTGGAGAACTATTAGAAAACCGGGAAGTATCGGACAGCTGTTTTGTCCTAGATTGTAAAGTCCTAAACTGGGCTAACGAAACAAATGGCTGTCCAGTACTCCATGGTGATTTTTCAATGTTACTTTAGACTATGTTAGCTCGTGATGAAATCCTGTAACCAGTCAAAAACCCCTGCAAACCAGCACTTCAATATTAATCTGAGGCTCACTAGTGACTGGCCCCATTCAGGTAGGTAGTTACCTACCTGGTTTCTAGTGGATATTAGTGATCAAAGAGATGTAGCAGGTCGGACATGATGACAAATATTCACCGCTGATGATACTGGCCAGTAGTCGCGCTATGTCCTTAGTTATCATAAGCTGGAATTCATGGACTGGCCTCTGGATTGGGTCTCTGTGGCTTGATGCCCTAAGAGTTCGCCTTGTAACCGGTAGGTCGTGAGTTCAAACTCAATTATTCGGTGGTTGATTATTGGCTGAAAAATTCTAAACTGGGCTGACCAAACAGCTGACCGTCCAGTAGTCCCTGGTGTTTTTTAATGGTTCTATAACCGTGATATCAGATCTTGGTGAATTCCTGTAAAATAAGATTTTGTCATTGACATCTTTTAGTATATAAATATATACACCTTTGATACGAAACATTTTGTATCACTAACCTAATTATCTCCGCATTAAAATTTGCTAATTTGTTAGTCAATTTTGCTCTAGTTTATCAACCGTAAATAACTTCACAGGTAGGCATGAATTAACAGACAGATATATTTAGGGAGAACATAATCCGATTGGTCATGAATTTTATTTTTGCCTTTGGAAATAAATTTTTATGAAAAACTAAAACAAAAAATTCATGAGTATCAACTGATTTATTAGTCTGGCCTATTGTTCATCCACCTTAAAAGCTTGTAATTGTTTGACTGTTTAAGCCAAATATTCCATCATACTGATATGAACAATAAATTGTGCTCAAACGTCATCCAGGTGTTAATACTGCAACGCTATGTGATATTTAAAAAACAAACTAATCTAATATGGAATATATTTTACTGCCTATCTATTATTATTTAGACTGAGTCAAATAAAAAGCCACTTTTAATCGAATTATTATCTGTAATCAAATCACAGACATTTTAAAATAACTTAAAAGCTTTTGAATTTCAAAGACATAACGGATTAAATTGCATTACACAACACATATGAATCTTGGAATAATCAATTTATCATATGCTGAAAGTTGAGACAGTCTGAACTTCTTTTCTTTGTCATACAGTAGGAACAGAAGAGATCTCATTATAATGTATAATATTTTGAATACAGACTACAAACCTGGTCTATTTTCTCTTTGCCTTCTGGCCAGATGAGAGCACCTGAGAGAATGTGGTAGGAGAGTTCAAAGGTTATAAAGGAAATATACTTATAAGGAGTGCTGGTTCTCACACCAAGTCATAGACTCCTGGAGCCAACCCCCAGAAGAAGTGGTATCAGTGCGCCTTCAACCGACTAATTCAAGAAAGGTTAGGGGAAGCATAGAAATTTGCCAGAAACAAATTAACATAGGCTTTAGGCTTTCTATTGTCAATCAATAAATTTGAAACGTGAATTCTTTAACAAAAAGACTAAACAACATAAAATCGAACTATTCATTTTATAACTGAGAGACCCAAAGTAAAGGAATTCAGGCAAATGTTACTAGTACAGATGTCTTCTAAGTAGAATGTTTCAGACTTATCGCGATATGTCAACAAGAACTGCATAACTTGATAAGCAGGGACACACTCAATGATTTAAACACATAATGCTCCACAAATCAACCGAAACCGAGTAAAGTGAAAGTCAATGAATACACAGGGAGTTAATATGATAAATTCTCTTTAAATAATAACTAAGATCAATATACTCTAATAACAAGAAAATAAGAATGCGGGGTGTAATTATTCTCACCAATTTCCAACTGGAATGAGTATTATATAGAATGCTTAGCTAATCATAAATGCATCTTTACCTCCTACCTAATACAAGTTTATATGTATATATATTGGATTAACGTGAAGAGTTTTGTCTAATGTACCCCGTACTTTTTTCATTTAAAACCCTAAAATTAGCACAAAACTAGAACCACACATTATACAGTACAAATTAGAGCATAGACTGAAAATCTAGACTTTGCAATGAGAAGATTATCTGATGCATCCAAAACATTCTTTATACAAACCTAAAATGTACTGATTGTATCTGCCACTAATTTACAAAGTGAAAAGCGAACGTCTGCGTATATAAAATGAATTATAATTATATTACTATAGAATATACACAATGATAAGTTCTTTTGTTTTGCTAATATTTCGAGCAAAACTAAAAACGCATCATTGTGTGTAGACTACTGAAGTATAATTATAATGGCCAAAAGTCTTACTAACATTAGGTCTGTAGATATATTATGTTGTTCAGCCTTATTTAAATAGAACAATAAACTTACATAAGAGTCAGCACTCAAACCTGAAGAATTATCAAATCCAGTTATTGTAATTGGAGTACTGAGTTCCTCCCTGTTTCCTTGTGAATCCGCTGCTGAATGAGGATATGACAAGAAATCAACAGTTGGTGGTATACAGTCAACATGAGATAAAGTTCCAAATTTCGGTGAACATTCTTTCAAACATAAACTGTATTGAGATTGCAAAGGATTGAAATAATTTTGCTTTGAATTCTCAATAAGTGGATTGACATTTTCCAAGTTGATACATAAAAGCCCACCATTGCCTCTTTTCTCAAAAGTTTCTTCGCGAATATCACATTCAGATGAAGGCAACAGACCGGCTATCTCCTCCCACCGACGTTTTTTCGGAGAAGTATCGAGTTCAATCATTCACAGTGTAAGGTATAGTAACAATATTCACAATTAAATTTTCATTGAAAAACCGATTATCGTTTTTTTTTCAGGAATAAAGCAATCGTATTGCAATGAAATACATCTTTCAATAAATAAGTAAACAGTCCAAAAAAGTTTAGTAATGTATTAGCGTCATATTATTCATAAATTCAACCATGCATCACATTTTATTGAGTTTTCAGACCACGTCAACCTCTGAGCATCCATTCTGTTCCTCATGTGAACATTCGTATCGAAATCTGCTGAATATTTTAAAATGCACACGCTCTCAAGGCTGTATTAGATATATAAACAAACAATTTTACAGTCATCAAGATATTTCAAATTTATTGGTTGAAAATAGAAGGCTCGGAGCTTATGATAATCCTCTTCTAGTAAATTTCTGTGCTTGTTCAAACCCTTCTTGAGTGAATCAGTTGAGGTTGCAAGCACCGCTACTTCTAGGAGTTTTTGACTCTAATGCCAAATATCTTTTTCTCCGAGCTAGTATTAACCAATTTGATTTCTTTTTGCTCGCTTCTTGATTGTCACGTAAAGGTTGCTGATCTTCAGTAAACTTCTGTGTGGTTTGTCCAGCCACTCGACTGTCGTAGCTCTGGTTGACTCCAAAAAGGACTAGTGCTGGGATTAATTACATGTAGCTATCCTTCTCGGATTTCCACGGGGAAGCCTATACCTACTCAATGGCAGGACACCTTTGTTTGGGTGGTTTTGGTAATTTGTTATCTTGTAGGCAGTAGTCAAATCCCCCTTAAGCCAATGGTAGCTAAGTTTGGGCAAACCTAATTTCTTTAGCCGTTCATCATACGGTTTGATTCCGAAAGCCATCACTCCTTTTGTCGCCCGCCTTTCCACTCTTTCAAAGTGGTTTACGTCTCTTCTAAGCAGTATGGGTGCAGTGATACTGTACACTTCAGCGTGTGGTCTGACGCATGTTTTGTACAACCTTAGAAAGATTTCAGGATTGAGTGCTCGTAACTGTCTATGTATAACACGTATCATCGAGTATGCCCTCGCCACCACATCCCCGTGTAATTCACGCTTTAGTCCGTGTTTTCCGTTAGAACTAGACCTAAGTCGCATTCTGAGGTTGTGTAGGACAAGCTTTTGTTGCACAAGGTGTAACTTGCATTCTGCAGCCTACAGGTATGTACTTTGCACTTTTTCAGACTGAAAGTCATACCACTGACCACCGCTCAGTCTTCCAGAATTTTCAGACCTGTCTGCAGCCTATCTGAGTCTTCCGAACACTTTATTGCCCTCCATATATTTACGTCGTCAGAGTACAGAAGAGTCGGGCAGCTAAGACGGAATGGTAGGTCACTGATAAGAATGAAAAACATCAGTGGTTCTAAGATAGAATCCTGCGACACTCCTGATAACGAGTTGTGCCAAGATGATCGGACTCGATTGACCTTAGCTCAAAATTTCCTTTCATCTAGGTAGTCCTTCAGCCATGACAGAAGCGGCTCACCTATACCTGCCTAACTTATTTTGTGCAGGAGAAGGTTATGATGAACTGTGTCAAATGCCTTCTCAAAGTCTGGGGAGACCACATGGACTGGAACATTCATATCCCAGCACGATGTCCAATAGTCCCAAGCTGATAGTAGGTTTGTTACACAGGATCTGCCTTCCCTGATACCGCGTCAGGCTTCATGGAGTCTGTTAGTCCTATCGAGGTAGTCCCCGATGTGATCATCAATAATACTTTCCAGCACTTTTGATACCACTGGGAGTAGGGCTACTGGTCTATGACTAGTAGCATTTTACCTGTCCCCACCTTTGAAAATAGCTCTTTTCCCCTCCCTTCGCAGTTTTCCCAGATCCACTGAGTGTTGGAACAAGTCGCATAAGGGCCTACGGAGAACCTCAGTGCACTGTTTCAGAACAGATTGCGCGATGTCGTCACAACCTAGGAAGTTTCTAGGTGAGCCTCTGTAGTTTCCCTAGCACTATTGCCGGGTTTATTTGGGGAGTGGCCACTAGGTTTCCCTCCGGTGAAATGGTTGTGCCACCATTTTGTTCCGTACCAGTAATACCCATATTGCTGTTTAACTGTTTGGCGAAGGCTAAACTGAATGTTTCAGGCATCTTCATACCAATTAGGTATTGACCGTTTGGACCTACTAAGGCACATACCCCCTGGTTGGCTGATTTTCTCTCCGACATGAATCAGTACTTGCTTTTGGGGTTCGCCAGGAGTTTTATGGCAAAAATAGCCTGAAACGACCTATCACTCCTGACTCTTTCACTGCACCAGTTCCTGATTTCCAGGTACGTATCGTGGTTGGCCTGACTCTTAGATATTCGCCACGTAGACCATGCCTTCCGCTTTGCTTGCAGAATACTGTGTGGACCTCTCTTCTTACAGCTGTGTTGTGATTGAGGTGTGGTATCCGAGATTGCCATGTGAACAATCGCTTTTGCCACTTGCCAGTGTTTATCCGCAGATAACTCAGCCCATTCAATGGGCCACTCCGCGTCGGACAAAAGCCCCTGCACTTCAGCATAGTCTGCTTTGTTATGGCACAGACATGGTTTCGTAGAGTCCCAATGTAAGTGCTCACGGAGAACAAGATCGAAACCTTTGATTGCGTGGTCACCACTTACTAATGGGGTCATGATCCGGACATTTGCGACAAGTAGTTGATCACTAGGTAGAATATAATCCAGTTTCGATGACTTTCCACTAGGGCCACACCTGGTGTCGTCCTACATTTCTAATGGTCTGTAGTAGATTCGACCTAATTTTCCCTGAGCATACCACAAGCGAAGGTTCAGGGATGGGGAATTGAAATCTCCAGCTATGGTGATTTGGTCGTAGCCAAGTCCCATACCCCTGTGATGGTGCTGAGTAGTGCCTGGTTGTGTTCCTCCCCGCAGGCGAGTGACCGGTATACGCCACCCATTAAATGATTGGTGTTGTCTACGGTGAAATGACACCATGTGGAGTCTGAGATGGGTAGATGGTTGGTCCGTTGCACGTACGCATTTAATTTGCTTGTCAAAGTAAATGGTTACTCCCCTTCCTTATTGTCCCAGCCTCTCCTGACCAGAACCTTATCAATTATACTGATTTCGTTGTCGGTGATAGTGGGGTTAGCCAGGTTTCAGTGAGGACTATTAATTTAAGGTCTATGTGTGACTGGACGTTTCAGAGTCCACCTACTTTACCTCTCAGCCCTCCCACATTGCTATACAGGCAGCTGACAGTGGGTCTCACCACTTCAGTATATTTTGTGTGGTAGCTGACGTTACGATGTCCGCTGGTGAGGGACCTAATATTGTGACTAGTTGGCCAATTCCGATGAAACCGGTCTGTTGTCGTTTTTTCCTTAGATTTTGGTAAGACACTTGGGTGACACTGACTGTCATTCTCAGTACCGCATCGTCCTAGTGTCACTGGGGCATGGGGACGTATTAAGGCCTCAGTTTGCTACCTCCTTATGGTTTGAGGTCTGCTTTCGCAGAATTGGATATGTCCTCCATTTTTCCCTTAGTCTCGTACCTCTCGATGTGAGAACTAGTACTCCACAGCAATATGGACCGTCCTTGTCTTTTGAACTCTTCTGATATGTCCACTAAGGTGTTCCGGCCCGGTGGGAAGGAAAAGAGAGAATTGGACAGGTCCGTGATCATTATTTAAAATTTTAAGCATTGTAATTAAATCTCCTCTCTACGGTATTATAGGGAGAAGAGATTTAAACTGTCTAGTCTTTCTTCGTATGATAAATTAGTCATGCCGTGAACCATACGTGTTGCCTTCCTTTGAACCCTTTCTAGAATGTGTGAGTCCCCTTTAAGACAAGGACTGGCTACCTGGATACAGTTTTCCAGTCTTGACCTAAGCAGAGATGTATATAAGGAGGTAAAGGCTTTGTGAATTGCTCAGGGGGAGAGTTTCCAGTTGATCGTAACCCTCTGCTTCCTATCTATCAAGAACTCTGGTGAGACTAATAGGCCTGTAGTTTGAAGGGCTTTGTCTTGATCCTCCTTTGTGGATGGGGGTTACTATGGGGTCTTCCAAGTCACGCGGTAATACTCCATTTAGGAAAGATAGCTTGATGATCATGGTCAGTGGGCTGGCTTAGTGAGCTAATAGGTCCTTGAGAAGCCTTGGATGAAGATTATCGGGACCCATTGATTTCCCTGCATCTAGTTTCATTAGGCAGTTGAGAATAGTGTCTAGGTCGATATCAACGGAATCTATCCAGTATTCCTCTGATGCAGCCAGGGCTGATCCTGTAATGAGTGATGGCTTCTGTGTAAAGACTTGAGAGAAGTAAACTGCCATTGCTTCTGCTTTTTCTCGATGTTCTTCGATCGTGTCATTGTCAATAGTAAGGTTTGGGGCACCATTGGATGTTTTATTCCTGAAGTTCATGTACGAGAAAATTTTCCTAGGTTGCGCCGTTGCATTTTGAGCCAGATATGCTCCGAACTTCTTCCTTGATTGATGGATTTCTGCAATAACTTTGTTCCTAGAGGTGTTGTGTAATTTCCTGGTCTCAGTAGCCTCAGGTGTGGTTAACAGGCTCCAGCATTTGTGTTCGCGTCTTAGTAACTTACGAATCTCTCGGTTTATCCGAGGGGGCAATATTTCAGACCCTTTAGGACAGACCAAGGGAGGAAAGGTTCATTTACTTGGGCGTAAAGTTGTTTAAATTGGTTCCAAGCGGCTTCTACTTGAGACTCTGGGTTGATGTACCAGTTTACTGAGTTGGCTGCTGAGACGATGGCATTTGTATCAGCTTTCCAAACGTTTGGTCGAGCTGGGGTTTTGGCCCTTGCTACTGTTGCTGTGAACTTGAAAGTGAGCGCAGCATGATCACTTCTTCCTAAAGGAGGAAGATGTTTCATGAGAACCACATCCTCACCGTGGGGGGACACTTGGTCCAGAGTTGAGGAGGAGTGCTGTGAGTCATAGTGCGTGGGCTTAATGATATGTTGGACTAGGGGTAGCGAAATGGTAGGCTCCAGCAGTTTATGATCAAAGGAGTGGTCTGAAGATGGCTTTGTAAGGCTTTTCCAGTCAACTGTTGGGGCGTTTAAGTCTCCGACTGCGAGACTTAGAAATTTCGATGTGCAGGAGCCTAGCTTCTCAATTACGAAGTCGTCTGCAGTTCAGTCAAGACTGCGATATGCAGCAACAGGTCAATGTTTGGCCTATGCATTTAAGTCTGCAGCGTAGAAGTTCGCGCGATTCACTATCGTGAGTGCTTCGATGCTGAGCACGGTTAAGCATTTATTGAGGTAGAGGACGATGCCTACTCCTTTGAGGCTTAGTCGGTCCATCCTATGCACTTCAAGGTTTGGCAGGTTAACTTCGTTGTCAGTGTGTGAGCCATGTCTCTGTGATGATAATTACATCCGAATCTCCGGAGTATATCATATTACCCAGCTCAGTTCATTTGTTCAACAGGCTGCAGACGTTTGTGTAGCAAGCTGTTAACTCAGTTTGAAGAACCGTATTATAATTTTCCACTGAATTTCACATCTTCTTGGTCTTATTTTCAGTTAAGGACCAGTTTCATTGAAATTACTGATCTTATTATTTCAGCGTCTTCAGTTGCGTTACTGTAGGCTGCATTACTGAATCCTAATGGAAGTGTTTACCAAGGCAGCCAACACCGAAGCTTGCTGAGGCATCCTACCGAGAATCTGTAGCTTATTTAGTAGCAAATTTAGAAATGTACAGAAATTACCTCTCAGATATATTCTGAAGGTAGTAAGAAGAACATGAACATCCATACTTCATTTAACACTTAACACTTTCGGAACAAATTTGAGTGATCCTCTATGTCACCATAACAAGACGCTATACAGCATCTTATACAAGCACTGTCAATGATCTAAAATGGCTTACATATAGCTTTCTACGTGTTAATCAACTTACTCGTTCGGAACAACCGTGCAGTGACAAATGGCGGTCTTGGCTGACATGGGTGCAGTAAAACAAATCTGCTTGACAACAACCAATATTAATCTGCATTCAGTTGAATTCACATCTGGTATTACTTGCAATAAAAATGATGTCAAAATCATAAAAATAAATCACTCATTTTAAATTAATACCCAATCTGAACATAAAACAAGAACAAGATACGATGCTGCACACAACAAAGTTATACGGAGGAATTTATAATAATAATAATATATATTTTCCTATCAATGTAGGACACACCAGTTGTACAGGCATGGATAAGTATTATTTAAATTACATGAATTTGATTTATAGTGAAATTACATGGTTGCTGTCCTCTCTGATATCAGTTAGTGAGCACATTCTGATAGTTAGTCGTTCAATGGAGCACATAAAGAAATATAGAAATATTGTCTTCGCATTAACAAAAAAAACCCAAGTACGTGTCGGATAAATTACAAATATTTGGGAAAAAAATAAAGCTTGAAGTCAATCCCTCCATATAACTTTGTTGTGTGCGGCATCGTATCTTGTTTTATGTTCAAATTGTGTATTAATTTAAAATGAGTGATTTATTTTTATGATTTTGACATCACTTAAATTGCAAGTAATACCAGATGTGAATTCAACTGAATGTAGATTAATATTGGTCATTTTCAAGCTTTATTTTTTTCCCGAATATTTGTAATTTATCCAACATATACTTGGGTTTTTTTGTTAATGCGAAGAAAATATTTCTATATTTCTTAATGTGCTCCATTGAACGACTAGCTATCAGATTGTACTCACTAACTAATGTCAGAGAGGACAGCAACCATGTAATTTCACTATAAATCAAATTCATGTAATTTAAATAATACTCATCCATGCCTGTACAACTGGTGTGTCCTAAATAGATAGGAAATATATATATCTACACGATATGAATAATGGAATTTCGAACTATTCACCAACTTTTCACATGGCAAGCGGAAGACAGTTTTACTCCTTTGGTACCTGGTCTCTGTACCTCATCTAGGTTATGTCTCCTACCTGAGACAAAGAATGTTAGACTATATGCCGTGTTTATGGTAAGGTTAAACGTTCGTTAACTATAACACTACTCACTAAAGCACTTAGAGATCCACCTTACCAGCCTAAGAATTCCCACGAAATCCACACAACATCGCACTGAACCCGTCAAGCTTTGATTAGCAACCATTTCTAAGCCATTTACTGCGTGACGCTATCAGTAATACTTAAATTAATGCTATGTTAGGATTCAGACAGTGGCGGTGGCATTATGTTTTATTTTTGCATGTCAATGCAAATTTAAGATATACAAATGAAAGTAGAGTGTTTCATAAGCTATGTCATCAAAACGTCGAATTGACGGCTTGTGTGCTCACTACCACTGACGTCTCTACAAAAGTAGCTAGATCTTTTCTAATGTTAATTAGTGCCGAAATATCTTCTATTAAGCCATAGTAATAGTAAGCGCAGTTTTGACTGTGTGTGAAAGCGCAAATGATATGAACACTGAGGAATAGGAATAAGGTTAAGAATAAGCATTAGTATTTATCAATGGATTTTCCTCACAATCTGCAGAAAGAAATTTCAAAGGAATGAAGATCACGTGCAGCTTTGCCGCATGCATTAGTGACTTATTTTGCACATTGATTGGAGGCCGCCAAAATTTCCACCTCACACAACGGATCTGGTGTCACAAATTATGAAAAATATTTTAAGGGTAAGAAATTATTCTTGATGAATCGATGGCTTAAGATCTGATATCTAGGCTCTGAATCTAGTGTAAAATGAGATAGGATCTCTTGCTTGAAGTGAGACAAATTAGATATTCTATTGTTGTTACTCTCTTGGGTTCCTCGTGGAAATTGAAACTTCAGCAGCATATCTCCGCTTTCTCCATTATGGATAAAATTTTTATTAAATCACACGATGTTATACAGTAACATTCGCTGATGACGTTGATGGCATTCGATCATAATCATATCAGGGCATTCACAGAAATTTATCGCTTCACTTGTATATATGAGTAAAAAATGATTAAACTGTCGCACGATTCGGTCGACCATGATGGGGAACGTCATTGGTGATAATAGTCAGCCTGGTCTTACTTCTGCCTTCACTTGAACCGCTTCTCTGAGTTTCCTATTGTGGTTCACGTGACACATGACACTGTCATATAGCTGTGGTTGAATTAGATTGACGAAGATTTGGTTCGATGATATTAGATAGTTGAAAGCAATTGGCAGGAAGCCTTGGACCTAGATTTCGTGATAGCTGGCACGCGTCATCAAGACGTATCTGCAACCTTGAAGAGACTCATGTCCTCCCTGAGATTCGAACACGCGTCACCCAGTGATTGCTGCAGTCAGAGACGTTACCACTGCACTACTCGGGCTCGCGATTAGCCTCCTGTAGGACTGTATTGGATACTTCTGACTGGACACTGGTTTGTAACTAGTGTGATGTGTCTAGTCCTTTATTTGGTGCAGACTGAATTCTATCAGTCAGTGGTAACGTCTCTGAATGCAGCATTCAGCCGTCCCTTTTGGAAGAAAAATATACAGGTGGGAATACTCTGTGCAGCAGCCTCTCATCATTACTTAAAAATCTGAATTTAAAAGACAGGTAAACTGTTAAATGATGAAACGTAATTGGACGAAGATTTTTCGGCGCGTCTTACCCAATGGTACGCTACCATCGTTTTTGCCTATTTTGTCCTAACACTTCGTCTGTAACCTTACAGGTCTGGGTCGCTGTTCTGTGGTTTTACCTTAAAAAAACGTAAAGTTCAATTGAATTGCTTCATAGTCCAAGAATTCATAATGTAACCCAGAATGAAGTGATTATTGTTGCAATCCCAGCTAGCATTTTCTTCAGGCGCATTGTAGAACGTTGGACAGTTACCTATAGTCTGCCTCCAAGATTCGGCAATGCGCCCGAAGTCTGCCTAAAAGTTTCTGCAGTGTACCAGAAGTCACTGCTAGCTGCCCAAACTTAATATAATGCCGAATCGAATCACGCTTATTCTGAACTAACTCTTATATTATATAGTGAGTAAATTCTGAAACTGTTCTGAAGTGGTTTAATTAAGCTCATAGACTAGAAATCAGTGCTGGTTTTCAGCATGACTGGGACCCTATGCTTTTACTAGACGTTTTTCAGAAGTACCTTAAAACCCACTGGGTTTATTTGTCAGCCTTGTTTCAGCCCTCTTAACCTATATTCAGCACTGACTAGCATTAATTCATAACGGAAAGATTTAATTCGTGGCAATTTTTTTCGGTCTTAACACTGAAGGCATTATTTCAGCTGCAAATCCTATTCTCAATGTTTTGTTGCATTAATTAAGTGCCCAGTGCTCTTTTTAATAACGACCAGTGTTATTTCAGTACATAGTGGTTCCATTTATTCATGAGAAGGCATTATCAACGCATAGGTTAGAATTAGATTCATATTTATTGGTTGAGGATAGAAGGCTTGGAGCCTATGTTAATCCTTTTCTAGTAAGTTTCTGTGGTTATCCAAGCCTTTCTTGAATGAATCAGTTGAGGTTGCAGACACCACTTCTTCTGGGAGTCGGTTTCAAGAGTTTATGACTCGTTGTGGGAACCAGTAAGCTTGGGTGGGTTGCTTATTATTCTTATGGACTAAGTGGGTAGAGCAAAAGTAAGTTTGACTTAGGGGAGAATGTTATTGGTGGTGTTGCAGTTTGATGTAACTGTTTGTATTGCAGGAAGTCATTCGTAAAAATCTCACTTCCACACTGTCTAAATGTATTGTAAAATCTACTTACTTATCGCTATCTATTTGTCTTATGATATTTCCCCTACACATCCAGCTGACACGTCTAGCAAAATAGTCTCACAAATGAACAAGAAATATCCTAAGGACATGTGTTCCTCTTTTCCTTCATATTGATGCTTTCAAGGAGATTACTCGCAGGGAAACATCTGGCTGTTAAATGAGATTCTCTTTACTGTCGCCAGAGTGTATTTCGTTATATTACTCGTCAAAGTTCATGATAATTTCGGCATTTCGTATCCCATGTTGTTTAGGGGGAATGACATATATGCGTGCAAACTGTTCAACAGGGAAGTAGATTGCCACATCATGGTCTTTGGCAACTGAAGTCATTGAACTAATGGGGCTAATTTTGGCCGACTGAGCTGTAGCTTTTATATTTGCCTAATTGACTCTCAAATAATGGACCAAGTGGACTAACCCATGTATCGATGTTTACACAGCTGGGTAGCCAGATATTGGTAGGTGTATATATTAGCGTATAACTGGTTGACTGGGTTTCAACACAGAGCTTTGCACAGAAGTGTAGCAATTCAAGCTGCTGCACTACATTTAGTATAAAAAAGTAAGGAGAAGAAAGAAGACTGAGGTGTACGTTTATTCAAACCTTTGTATCAATAGGAAAACGGGTAAGTCTGATGAAAAATCATGGCCTGCGGTTGGGTGTACAAATGGCTGCTGAGTTTTATGTTTTCACATCCTTTGATTGAACACTAGTTAGGTACACCTGCTGACATGATTTCACTCAAAGTCGCAGACTTGCCTTGCTGACGAGTGCCAGTCAGTACGAAACCCAGTTGTAAGACTTCCTACCGATTGACTCCAGCCACCTAATATCGATAATTCACAGTGCAGTGCATCATGATGGCGAGTCACCCAGCATGTTGGCCACACTACAAACCAGGCTGACTGGTAGAATTCAGTCTGCACCAAATAAAGGACTAGACACATCACACTAGTTACAAACCAGTGTCCAGTCAGAAGTATCCAATACAGTCCTACAGGAGGCTAATCGCGAGCCCGAGTAGTGCAGTGGTAACGTCTCTGACTGCAGCAATCACTGGGTGACGCGTGTTCGAATCTCAGGGAGGACATGAGTCTCTTCAAGGTTGCAGATACGCCTTGCTGGCTGATGAGCGTCAACCAGCACGAAACCTACATCTGAGACTTCCTGCCGATTGCCTTCAACCGTGTAATGTTTTCACAGAGCTGAATGAGGTCGCTTAGTTGCGTATTCCACCCATCTACCCAACTAGTAGAGCGAACTAGAACATAATTGTGCTAACGAAACCTTAGAGCAAAGTATCTCACTAGTTCATAACTGTTATTTATGGACAAAAGTACCAGTTTAGATCTGATTACAAGGCTTCAAGTTTTTCTCTGTTAGTAAAATATATATCCGTTTGTGGTTAGAAATAGAACCACGGTAAGTATCCTTCAGCAGATTATAAAGAAAAAACGAACCAGAAGCTCAACAAAAACTATTATTTCTATTTTTTCCTATGCCCCTTGTGATCTAAATACTTTCGCAAAAAAAAAATCCGATTGTAGAGTGATTTTTGAAGATCAAATCACCCTTAAGATATCTCTTTTTGTCCTGAGCCCCTTGTTCTTTCCCCTCTTTCTCTAGTGAAGATGAAACAGCCTTAGGTTCTAAACAGAGTCATTTCGTAACTTCTTTTCCACAGAGATACAACTTCTTTAACCTGCTATTTTTCAGGTAATACAAAATTCCAAAATGTCGACAATTTCTGGCTTTTGAATTATCTTAACGACCGAAAACAACACACTGAGTGATTATTTCATTGCCTACTAACGTGAAAACTATAAATCATTTTCTCATACACTCATATACTACTCAAGGTCTATGATAACAGGATTTCTGGACCGAACTCAATGGCAAAATTTGGTAGCTGGTGTCGCCGGTGGAGTAACATCTGTATTGATTCTACATCCATTAGATTTAGCCAAAGTTAGATTACAAGTGAATGAAGGCACAGGTGTTGTTGCTTGCAGGTTGGAATAAACAAATTTTTTTGGTGATCATGTCTTGTATCCTATTTATGTATTTATTTATTGATTTTGAATCAGATTTACAATTAGTTATATAAATTGAGATAGTTAGGACAACATTTGTGATGCATGACTAACCATCGCATTCCTCGACCAGCAATTTTGGAAAGCATATATTAGCGGTCAGATGAAAAATTGGCTTCATTAGTCAATGAAATCCATACCAGTTAGTCTAAGCTAGCCACATGGGGAGGTGTAGACTGGCAGGCTGGCTAGCTGGCTGGTTGGTGTCATCGAGATGGTAAGAACCAAAGATGGCTGGAGAAAGTTGGTGATATGGGGTTGGGAAGATGCATTCATTCTTTTTGAGTGATGTATCAACTCTATCCAATAAAACTGTTTTGTTCTTGCATATTACTATTCTTTCGCCCTGTCTCCCACTTCTGTTTATTTTCAGTCTTATGAATCTCTGTTCACTCTCTTTTATTGCTTTGTGTACTACATGGAGTGTGGCAACTCGAACTGCTGCAGTTGTGTGCAAAGTTCAATGTTGAAACAAGTCAGTCTGTCAATAGGTTAATAATTTTGGGGAGTTTTTCTCCGCTCAGTGTGTTCAAACAACACTATGATACTGAGGCTAAATTCCATTCAAAGATAAATTGTTTTCATTAGCTGTAGACTGACTTACGAATAAAGTCTACTCGAAAAGTTCTAAGCTCATGAGCCCACCAAATCAAGCTGTTTTAATCACTGCCGAAAATTCTTTCCCGATCGATAGCTGCTACCTGCTTGCATATCACAATGACCCAACAAGCTACACTGTCTGGAACTCATCTTCCTGCATGTTCTACTATGTCAGAAAGGTTGCGTTAGGATAGCGAATGGACACTAAAAGCACTTAACGATGTAGTGTATTAGATGTTTATACTATATATGGGGTTCTGTGGGCAAAGTTGTACTGTTGGGGAACAAGAATGTGTCAGCAGTAAGGCGTTTTTCTCTCAGATAGATGACCAGTATGCTAGCAATGCTGTCTCTCCACTCGGAGGAGCGGGGCGCTGATTGGTGTTTAGAAAGGTTGACTTCAAAAAAGTGTACATCTCGACTTACCCTACGGGGTGGTCCGTAGCGCCAGTGTTAAGTTCCTAATACGAAAAACGTTTTAAAAAATCAATTCAAACAGTCTGTATATGTGAGCGGCCTCAAGAAATTATCACCTGGGGGCTCTGTCACGCAACACTAATTCTCTTTCTGTTTCAGATACCTCAAGAAAAGAATCCTTTCGCCCATTATAATTAACTACCGGGAATTTATAGTTTTAGCATTAGTAGGTATGGATGACCATTTTACTACAAGTCAACAGCCACATCTTTTTGAAATAACTAATTTTATTTATACGTTTGGTTCTCTTGTTGAATTTTAATAAAGAAAGAAAGATCAGATTAATAGTATAAAGTGATGCCATCATTCTGTTTCACACGTTCTCATTAGCTACTGCACACTACCTGAAATTAAAGTCGCTATTAAAATGACAATAACATACTTCAATGTTTGAATGGTAGTAGGAAAAGCACTATAAAATCAACTCATCGGAAATGGGAGCATTGCAACTTTTAGTTTAAGTTACCATCAATTTATACGCTTTCGATGTGGAAAACGGGTGATGGGGAGAAGACAATAAACAGAAAATTCTAATAAACAGTGTTAGCTTGTGGGTTTACATAGCAACTCAAGATTGGAAACTTGCTCAGTGAGTTGAAATAACTAATATGGATAACTAATCAGTGTAATCAAAATGTAGTTACCAAGGGAGTGAGACATTGATTACACTCTCTTTCTGTGTGCTGCATAAGTTTGATTTTAAACGTTTGATTGCAACTGCTTCAGCAAGTCATAGTAAATTTGCTGTCCTTTGTACAGTTGATATCTTGGATGATTTGGAAATCTCGACGAAATAATTTGTGTCCAGGTGTGTCTGGCAATCGCACTTTACGAATATCTGCTTCCTTTTAGACATTATTTTTTTGGTATATGCTTAGAAAACATTGGATAGAAGCCCTTCTTTCTATCCTTCTGATGTACTTCCTCCTGGAAGTGCACATAAATTTATAAATGTTGCTGCAGGTGTCATCAACAGGCTACTCATCCAGTTTGGATTGGCTTATAGAGCATATGGTGCTGTATAGCTTTACGAGCTTAGCTGCAGGGAAGTAACCTTTTTATTGCTTCTTTGTCCCTATTGTGATACTGCTTCTCCTTTGAGTAAGAGACAAATAATCACTTTCTTCTTTTCAACAGTTGGGTGCTCCAATTTCGCGTATTTTTCTTTGTTACACTTTTGGATAAATCCCTTTGAATATCCGTTTTTCTTGAGTTGCTATGTGAACTTATGACCTACACAAGAAGCCGACATGTCAACTTGAAACCGAGCACTTCGGTCCAATCAATCGACGGGAAAATCTAAAATTGAATTAAATAATTAATATGACCCGTTGCACAAGAAGTGGCTCTCATGGCCCAAGTGGTCTAGTGGATTACGCTTTGGCATTTGAAACTATGGGCACTGGGCTCGAGCCCCCGGTTGGAACACTGTCACTCACTGGGGAATTCAGGTACTTCCAGGCGACGATTTCCAAATAGGACGAAATGCGCGTTATCCTTGATTCCACCGCTAGTCACCATCCACCAATCGAATTGAAGCATGTTATTGTCATTTTTGTAGCGACTGTAATTTCAGGTAGCGTGTATTAGCTAGTGAGAACATGTGAAATTAAATGACGACGTCATTTTATACTCCTAATTCGGTCTTTCTTTGTTTCTTTTTTTGTCGTAATTTTATGGAGACTAGTTCTCGCCTTTATTGACTACTACCTATATTGATATTTGTTATTTTCTTATTAATACCTACAGGCCTAAAACAACACGAGCATTTCAAACTTTATATGAAATTGTCCAATATCGAGGTTTACGAGGTCTTTACCTGGGTTTAACACCAAATCTTATTGGAGCTGGTAGTTCTTGGGGTATATACTTTTTTCTGTAAGTTCCTTCCTTATTGATGATAAACTAGTTGATATGCATGCTATAACGATAATTCTAAATACTTATTGTCAGTGTCGTATAGTGATCGATTTCCAGTATGGAAATTATTATTATTATTCCCTTGGGTTCCGAGTGGAACATAGGGCTTCAACAACACATCTCCACTTTGTTCTATTCTTTGCTGTCCTTTTCAGCTGGGTTCAAGATTGCCCATAACCTCCCATCTCCTCCTCCCCAAATGATCTCTATATCACCGTCGCACCAACGAACAAGTCGTCGATTCTCATTGGGATTCCATTTGAGAGTGTACCTGGAGTGCGATATCATTCGATGGCCTCCTCAGTGTATGCTAGATCCATCTCTATTTTCTCCTACATATTTGTTGAGCGATCGGCTCTTCGTTGGATTGTTCTACTGCAAAGTTTCTTTTTGCTAATTCTTTCTGTCCTGCCATTTGATCGTCAGTATAGAGCTAGTAAAGGTAGCTGTTGATAAAAGTCTGCAGCCACTCGTTAGAAATGCTTGCTCCAGTCGACCGCAATGAGGAATACCATCGGTGATAACAGTGAGCCTTGGTTTACTCCTGTCTTCACTTGAAAGGCTTCGCTTAGTTTTCCGTTGTGAATCACGTGACACGTGCCACTGTCATATACTAGTTGAATGAGGTCGATAAAGATTTGGTTCACTGAGCTCCATGGTGCCACAGTAGTTTCCAAATTACTTAGTGGCCAACGCTGACGAAAGTTATTTAAAATTCGCTGAAGTTGAGGTAGAGGTTTGACTACCATGCTATACTTTGTTCGATGATGATGCATAGATTTGCAATTTGACCCTCATATGATTTCTTTTTCCTGAATCTAGCTTGTTTTGGGCCGAGTTCTGCATGCAGTGCATGCTTTATTCTCCCCAGGATAACGCAACTTAATATTTGCTTGGCGTGGACAAAAGCATAATTCCTCCCCACTTTTTGGAGATGTCTAAGACACCCTAGCCCGGCCGATAACTGCTACCTTGTCGTGGTGGTCGGGCTTAAATACCGCAATGACCCAAGAAGCTGAACTGACTGGGACTCTGTCTCTACAGGTCCTACCATGTCAGGGAGGTTTTCTGGATAGCGGTTAAACTAAAAGCAGTTACTATGGGGTACATGGGCTCCAGTTTCCAATTGGATCGAATGGCGTATGAACCCATATGGGTCACCGGCAACCATGGGAATGCAGCTCCTGACGCTGCTCCGCTGCCTTGCGGATTAGACTCCAAGTCAAAGGCTCGGGGGGTGGTCCCTTAATAAAACCACCTGCTTCGGTCTGGGCGCCCGGGCAGTATCTCAGCCCGCACACAATGAATGAATTGAAGCAACGAACTCTCATTGAAACTCAACGCGCGCTAGTAAAAATGATTCCAAGCAATACTGATCCCTCAAGCAACTTATTTCCTTCCTATCTTACTTTTATTTTTACACATAGTTTCCTGTATTTTACCTTTGCTAACCTTGGCTTCTTAACCTTCGACAGCCTTTCGCCTTTGTCGAGATTCCCAGCCTATCCGTGTCGTTTCGAGATGTTAGTGAGTAGTCCTCAAAATGGTTGTTCCCAATGTGACTTCTAACACAGATATCCTGAAACCGCGTGCTGCGTTCAAGCTGGCTACCTACAATGTTCGGACGCTGATGCAAATCGGACAACAGGCAGGGTTGGCAAGAACTTTGGAAAGCCTCGCTATCGATGTCTGCTGCATTTCGGAGACCCGCATTCAAGATCCCAGTGAAGTGCTTCGACTATCCTCTCCATCTGGAAGTTCTAGTAGTATGTACCACCTGCGCTTATCCGGGGACCCTGTGGCATCGGCATCCGGCGTAGCTGGTGTCGGTGTCGCACTGAGCGCTAGAGCCGAAGCTGCACTGCTCGACTGGATTCCCATTAACAGTCGTTTATGTGCTGTGAGGCTGGAAGGATATACGAAAGTAAGGAGTAGTAGGCCAGATAGGCGGTGTCTATTTGTTGTCTCTGCCTATGCACCGACGGATTGCAGCCCGGATGCAATGAAGGATGAGTTTTACTACCAACTGAGCGATCTGTTGAAACAGGCGGGTCGGAGGGATATCGTAGTGCTAGCTGGGGACTTGAATGCACAGGTCGGGCGTCTAAGCTCAGAGGAGAGTCGTCTAGGTGGTCAGTGGGGACTACATGGTCGCAGGTCAGATAATGGGGACCGTCTTCTGCAGCTTTGCGCGGATCACAACCTATTTCTAGCCAGCACCAACTTCCGGCACAGCCATCGCCGTAGCGCTACCTGGCGTCCTCCCTCTGCGAAGCAAGCTTGGACTCAGATTGATCATATTGCGGTCAGTTTCCGGTGGCGAGGATGCATACAAGACTGTCGCTCCTTCTGGAGCACATGCCTGGACTCCGATCATGCGTTAGTGTGTGCCAAGTTCGTCTTGCGATTTGGTGGGGTTCGTAAAAACCGTCGTCTAAGCGTTGATGTGAGCAAACTAGTAGCACCTGCTACTTCTTTGAAATATCAGAATGAGTTGAAAACAATGCTTGCCAGCAACCCCCCAAGTAGTATAGATGAACACTGGCTTCATGTGCAAGGTGCCATGCAAAAGGCGAGTGTAGCCGCTTGCGGCTTGAAAGAATGCTCCGCTAACAACCACTGGGTTTCTGCGAGTTCCTTGCAACTCATGGATGAACGCCGGTCCATTCCGGCTGGCAGTGAATACAACAATCAGCGAAAGGCGCTCACGCGCAAGATTAGACAGTGTTTACGTAAGGACCGCGAAGCCTGGTGGTCAGAACGTGCGTATGAGATGGAGTCAGCTGCTGCATCTGGCAACAGTCGGAAGCTGTTCCAACTCATACGAGCCACCGGCAGCAAGAAACAAGGTGTCAGCGAGACGGTCTGTGAGGCAGATGGCACTCCAATTACCAGCCTGAAGAGACGCCTGGAACGCTGGGCAGAGCACTTCGGGAAGCAGTTCAGCTGGCCACCAGCTTCATTGTCTACTATCATTAGCCCGAGTGCTCCTTGGTCGGTTAGTACCGACCCACCCACCGAAGCGGAGGTCCGTAAGGAACTCCAAGTTCTGAAACGCCATAAGGCGCCCGGCCCAGACAAATTACCCCCGGCTCTTTTTAAAGATGGTGGCGAGACTCTCATAATGGCTCTAACTGGGTTGTTCAGGAGGGTGTGGGAGACAGAGAGCGTACCATCAATGTGGAACGAAGCCATTATCGTCCCCATCTTTAAAAAGGGTCGACGTAATTCGTGTGACAACCATAGGGGTATCAGTCTGTTACCAGTTGCGTCTAAAATATTGGCTGCTGTCATGCTTCGCAGACTGTGCAAAATACGTGAAGGATTGATTCGCGAAGAGCAGGCTGGGTTTCGTTCAGGTCGTGGATGCATTGATCATGTGTTCACCCTTCGTCAGTTGTTGGAACACCGCCACACGTATTGCAGGCCAACGATCGTTGTGTTTCTTGATATTAGGGCTGCCTTCGATTCGTTGGACAGAACTGTGCTCTGGAACTGTCTGTTAGAGAGAGGTGTACCTGAGAAATTTGTTAACATCTTGAAAGCCCTATACAGAAACACCTCAGGTAGAGTGAGGGCATACAACCAACTATCACCACTGTTCCCAACCAACAGTGGGGTTAGACAGGGTTGCCCAATCTCTCCATTTCTCTTTAACTTTGCCATCGATGACATTCTGGAGTCAGCTCTGAAGGATGTGCGTGAAGGTGGTGTAGATCTGCTACCTGGAGATAGACTTTTCGACCTCGAGTATGCAGACGATATCGTCTTACTGTGCGATAGCATGCAGGCTGCCCAAATCGCACTTAATCAGTTGGCGATCAGTGTCTGTAAGTATGGTATGTGCTTTGCGCCGTCTAAGTGCAAAGTACTGTTACAAGATTGGCAGGAGCCTGTACCTGCACTCACTCTTGCGGGTGAACCGCTTGAAGTTGTCGATAAGTTTGTGTACCTAGGTAGTTGTGTGAGTGCTGGCGGAGGGGTGACGGATGAGATTTCCAACCGTATAATGAAAGCTAGGGTGGCATACATCAACTTGAGCCACCTCTGGCGCCGTCGCGACGTTAGCCTGGCTGTCAAAGGTCGGGTATACAATGCTTCGGTGCGGGCTGCGCTGCTCTACGCCTGTGAAACCTGGCCTCTCCGAGCTGAGGATGTGAGGCGACTCTGCGTGTTCGATCACCGCTGTCTCCGCAGGATTGCTTGCGTTCGATGGCATCATCGCGTGAGTAATTCTGAGGTTCGGCGGCGTGTGTTTGAACACAGTGGAGATCACCATTCATTGAATGTCGTCATCTGGAAACACCGGCTCCGGTGGCTTGGACATGTGCTGCGAATGTCACCCCAGAGGCTTCCGTACAGGTCTCTGTTCGCTAGCCCTGGGACGGGATGGAAAAGGCGGAGAGGTGGTCAGCCCATGACGTGGCGTCGTGGGATGAAGGATTTCTGTGCTAGATTAGCATCGGTTGGTGTGTCACGACTCCCTGGTTGGGGTCTGAGAGATAGCTCAAATCGATGGCTCGAAACGTTATCGGATATGGCCAAGAATCGTAATCAATGGCGAATGTGTTGCGATTTCCTTCTTTCTTCCATTCCCGATGATAGTTAACGAACACTGTTTGAACCTGTTAAGAATGAGTGTTTTCCTTCCAGATGAAGTTCTTTATTCGTTCTCTACTTATATATATTTTTTCTTTTCCTGCCTTCCTTCCTTTTTTTTCATCTATGTTGTTTTATTATTATTGTGTGGCGCATCCTTCTTGGTGCCATATTGTACCAAGTTTTAATGCGTTTAAATAAATAAGACACCCTAGACCTTCTTTTAGTCAGTGGGTACCTTTTCTTCCTTCCAAACCTTTTACAATGGCAACATGAGCATATCCTCTGCGGTTTCTTGATCCATTTTCAGTGCTCCCCAAGGAATTCTGTCTGGTTCTGCTGCCTACCTGGACTTCAGTAGTTTTATTGTACTCAAGAATTCGGCTTTTGTTTGGGGACTAGTGTCGATTCACGAGTCCTTTAGAGTAATCGCCACATTGTTTTATTTGTCTTTTTAGTAATTAAGTTCCCTTGACCATCTTTTATTGGCTTCGTCTGCGTTGATGTCTTCCTGGATAGATATCTAAATTATCGAATATAATTTTCTGTGGTCCATTTCAATCTGAGGCCTGTTCTGCTTCAGTTGGAGTGGTTTGAATTTTCTGTAATGATTGGATTGATTTCCCGGGGTGGTGTCATTAATCCCACGCCACCCAACCTTTTCTTTTTCCTGGGCTTAGGACCGGTTCGAAAACTAACGAACTAGGAAAGTAGGTAAGGTATAAGATGTTAGTAATTCCATGTAAAAAACCGTTCTATGTCGACACACACCACCATTAAAATGCGGAATATCTCCCCGTCTGTCGGTATTTACTACCTTAACTCTCGTGTCTTTCTGGTTAGTTCCAACACATTGTTTGCTTCTACTGATTTCACAGAATATGAATAGCTTCTCTTTGTGTCTCTGCAAGACTCTATATTAAGTCATTTGTATATCTTTTTATCTAAATGTCGCAAAATATCACCAAACATATTGCCGTTCGGGGCGGCTTAAGCCTTAAGAACTTGTGATATAAGATTGATCATGGCTTGATATCAGAGAACCATTGAAACCCAGTACTGGACAGCTGTTTCTTTCTAGTTTATAACTCTTCATCAGAATGAACCCACTGTTGGGGTTTGAACCCGTGACATTCCGGTTACAGGTGAAGCTTGTAGACCATTTAACCCGATCCAATGTCCCATGAATTCTCACCGCTACCAATTCTTGAGAGGTTGTGACCAGTGGGGTCCACCACCAGGCCGACAGTGAGGACAAATACTCGCCAACGATGACATTGGCTGGTGGTCTCGCTGAAATCATGAATTGCCAAAAGTTAGAATTCATGGGTTAGCCATTGAGTTGGGTATCAATGGCTGGAGGGTCTACGAGCTAGACTGGTAATCAGAAGGTCCTGCGTTCAAACTCTGGCGGTGAGTGTGTACTTCTGAAGAGTACCAAACTAGGCTGACGAAGCAGCTTTTGGTGAGAGCTGGCTGCAAGCCAAAATTGTAGACAGCAATTTACGTCAATGTTCACGTCCTAAATCAGGGTCATGAGAAAAACAATAACAAAGCTTGACCTTGAGAAAATCACCAACCAATCACGGCGGAGTTAACGTGTGGAAATATGATTTGCAGATATATGGCTTGATTTTCTGAGAAACGGCCACCTTCAGCAAGAAAACAACCAATCAGAAGACGCTGCTTCTCTGCTAACAATAATGCACATAAAAATCTATAAATACCTCTTGATTTTCTCAATAAAGAATCTGTTGCCTGGCCCTTGTCTTTTTTCGTTACAATATTAATATGCGAAACGGGTGTCCTCTGTCGACACAAGATAATCAAAATTAATCAAGTATCGATTTTAAGACTAGGTCAGTACTTTCTTTCAGAATCAGTCAGGTAGGATGTAATCTTATGACTTACTTCTGTCGTTACAAGCTGACTGTCCAGTACTGCCTGGTGGTTTTCCAATGGTTCTCTCTAACCGTGTTGTCATCTCATGATAAAATCCTGTAACCTAGTGACATATCTTTGAAAATATTCCCGTTGTTGCTAAGATAATTTACGATTGTACAGCTCGGGAATTGTATGTCTGATGGTGAAAAGAGTAACTCATCACTGAACACCTTTCCGTTTAAATGTCATTTTCACACTGAGTTTCGATCACTCAATCACTCATTTCTTCATTGGCTTTTCGATGTTTGACAGTTATGAAGGCATGAAAAGGTTCGCTCAACAAGGTGAAGAATCTAAAGCACTTACAACTATTCAATATTTGACCTATGCCGCTGTATCAGGTTAGTTATACAACCATTCACTCACCTTTAATAGTTTTTTCCCCCAATATACTGCTGGGCTAATAACTGCGTCTAGACTGTTAGGGTTTGTTGTTATGCGAGATTACCCAGTTTGATTGAAGTAGGTAGGTTTTCAATTTCAAGATGGAGAGTGCTTAACCCAATCAAACACATCAGCACAGTTGGTGGTTATCTGTAGTGCATCAGTGGTTCAGCGCTAGGAATGCTCACCAACCACGTGGTCCTAAGTTCGATTCCCGGCCAACGTACACCTTTACCTACCTTAGCCGGTAATAAACCCGGTAAAGACGGAAAGTTAGATGGCGTGAGGCTAGCAACCTCACCCCGTAAAAAGAGAATAACACTACTGCTACTAAAACTTCAAAGTTCAAAGCCTGAATGAAGCCCTATGTTCCACTCAGAACGCAGAGAAATAAAATAATTTCCCATTTACGCATTTAGAAAAATAACAACAGATTGAGCGAAGAGACATGCATTCCTTTTCAATTAGTTCCTTGTCGTTAGCTGGCTCCAAACTAATGTATGGTTTTTTCCATCGAAAATGTACCGATTATTATTTCAGTCAGCAAGAATTCTCAGTTTTAGGTATAGGACGAGGGGGTGAAAATAATTACAGGATTCAGGACCACTTAATTCGCCCCCAATTAGATCAAGACACTGAGTCCCTACTTATGGAAGAAGTAGCAAAATGAGTATCTGAGGTTAACAGCAAGACTCCCCCGGAGGAAGCCTGGCACAATATATATTTAGCTGTAGACACAGCTGTAAAAGCTGTTAATAACCCGGATCCTAAAGTTTGTAAGAGCCATTGGATTTCTACTACCTCATCCGAACTGATTGACGCAAGAAGACTGATTTCGGCGAGCTTCGAAAGTTACTGAAACGCAAACTAACAAGAAAACTTTGCAACGACCGTGAACAGTTGTGGGCGACAAAAGCGAAAGAGATGGAAAAGGCATCGGCGATAGATGACACCAGACAACTATTTAGACTTATCAGGGAAACAGGTGGCAAGAGGCAAATGATAAGTGAAACAATCTCTGAGATAAATGACACCATAATTAGCTCTCAGGATAGACAACTGAAACACCGGAAAGAACACTTTGAGGAGCAGTTCATTTGGTCTGCAGTCACACTCAACTTACTTAGTGTCCAACACCTCCCTGAATGGGATATAGGCACAGGTCCTCCGTCCCTAACTGAGGTTACTAAGCCTGTCACTAGTCTGAAACGAAGCAAAGCAGCAGGACTCCAGAGGTGTTTAAGGACGGTGGAGACAGTTTACTGTCTGCGTTAACTAAGGTATTAGGTAGAGTCTGGGAATCAGAGGAAATACCGTCGGGTTGGTGTAAGTCACTGATTATCCCGATATACAAGAAGGGAGACAAGTGTTCCTGTGATAATCACAGGGGGATTAGCTTGACCAATATGGTATCTTAAGTTCTAGGCTTGCATCATTGGCATAGCGGTTAGGACGCTCGCCGACCATGCACATGGTCTAGGGTTCGGTACCCGGCCGACGCACTCCTTTACCTCGCTAAGCCAGAAATAATGCTGCTGAAGAGGAGAGGTCAGGCATGAGGCTAGCAACCCCATCCCATTAAAAATAAACACCACTGCTAACGAAACTTCAAGCCTGTAGCTTGAAGCCCTATGTTCCATTTGGGAACGTGAAGGAAAAAAAGTTCTAAGCTCAATAATCATGAGTAGACTAAGTGGTGGGCGGGAGGCACAAACATAAGAGAACTAGTCAGGCTTTAGACCAATAAGAGGATGTATCGATCATATCTTCACCCTTCGACAGATTCTGGAACATAGCCATACTAACTGGCGCCCAACAATCGTCATATTGTTTTTTTTACCTGAAAGTGGCATTCGATTCTGTCGACTAAAAAGTACTATGACAATGCTTGGCTGTGAAAGGAATGCCGAGAAAATACATCTCACTGTGGTATAACAGAGGCTAACTGCTTCCATCGAACGGTCATCTAAACGACCTTTATGATATGTAGATAGGTAGGTTTTGTAGAAATATTCCACTCATCCAGTGTTGTATAGGATGTAGCGTTATATATGTAAGCCCAATCAAGTAAGCATCTCAAGGTTAGCAGCTATCAGTTGATAGCAGAACTGTTAATCCGACTCAACTTCGAATTCATAAGAGAAGCGGAATCTGAGAAAATATTCCACATCTGGACGTTTTGGTCAAGAGAACTCAAGTTTACGGAAAATTAACTCACACAAGTCGAATTCTCAATTACACAACAGTAACAACCCAATAATGTACAACAGGAGTGGCAAACAAACTTTATCCAAAACAGCCAAAACGCATCACAGTACTCGGAGAAAAATATCTCATGTACGCCTACCAAAAGAATGGATATCCATGGAACTTCATCAAAACACATCTACAATCATCCCAACCAACCAACCAACCCCCAATAAAAACACAAAGGAAATCATCTTACTATGTATAAAGAATGTCTCCAAAATCACTACAAGACTCTTTAAACCCTTGGGAATTGATGTGGCACAAGAACCAACAAAATCACTTCACTGTACAGTCGCAAATATATATACAATTATTTTGTGTGTGTGTGTAAATTAGGTTTGTCAAAATCAAAATAACAGTTAGTGTGGGTTGTTGATTATATCATCAAAATAATGAAGAAGTTAAAATGTGTGATTAATAATCAAAGTTGTAACTAAGTGGGGTGAAGATTGGTAAGATGTGAGTAGGGTTACGTAATATAGACATGTTTAGAAAGATTAGATGCTAGTGAAGGAGTTTGGAGACAATTATGAAAATAAACTAGATAATAGGTGAAAAGATTGAATGGGTTAGTTACTAAAAATTGTTATACGAAAAATTGCAAAAAATTTGATAACAAAATGTTGATGACAAATAAACTTGAAATTAAACCCACGGTAGTAGGAGGGGGTGGAGAAGTTTCTTCTGTGTGCATAACTCAGGCTTTTCCATCCAAATCGCTAAGGCTTCAGCAATACAAAGTATACGGAAGCTTGTCGATTTTGGAAGGCTTCTTTTGACTTTATAGATGACTTTGAACGACTTCTCCTTGCAAATCGAATGACCAGTGTTGAGTATATGCTCAATAATGGCGCTCCTTATTGCTCCGTTGTTACCTTTCCGTAGCCAGGCGGGATAGTGTTCTTGAACTCTTTTAGATAAAACACGCATCGAACGACCTATATACCTCGCTCCGCAAGAGCAGGTGAATTGGTAGATACACATGGAAGTGGTCAAATGCGATAGTTTATCTTTAGAGTAGTTGAAGAACAATGGCCGGGAGGAAAATGTCAGTCGTAGTGTGGCAGCGAAGAATGTCCTTCTGAGAGCAGTAGATATCCTCTTCTTCAAGGTGTCAGCCAGAAGGTCACCTTTGAAGGGTACATTCATGTAGACCATCTTCTTCTGCACTGTAATGGGTTGTTCTTTGTACGTCTTAGGCTTAATGTGCTTGTCTATAAAACGGGGTGGGTAGCCATTCTCGAGCAGTGTCTTCCTTAAGAGGGCGATCTCTTCCTCTATTGATTCAGGACTACAGATTTTTCGGATTCTAGTCGCCAGAGATATTATCAAATTTCGCTTGCGACTTATTGGTACCCAACTGTAGAAGTTTGTCAACTGACCGTTCCATGTAGGTTTTCTGTGTACTGATCTGTTCAAGGTACCATCGGTCTTCTTACTTAGACGAACGTCCAGAAAGGAGATTGTCTCATTGGTTTCTACTTCGATTGTAAATTTGATGGCAGGGTGGCAACTATTGAAAACTTGAAGAACAATATTTTGATCACAATTGTGATCGCAGATGACGAAAGTATCATCGACATACCTTTTGTATAAGAAGAATTTGTCGATGGTTGCTTTCAGCGGACCGTTTTCCAAACTTGCCATGAAAATATCAGCCAGCACCGGACCCAAAGGTGATCCCATCGCCACGCCATCTTGTTGTCTATAGAAGTTCCCATTGAATGTGAACTGGACATTTAGGGTACATCTGAGTAGGAGTTCTTTTAGCTTGGTGGTAGGTATTCCAATATCCAGGTTGTTTTCTTCCAAGTATTTGCATAGAAAACAAATCGTCTCAGTGATAGGGACGTTTGTAAAGAGAGACTCGACGTCGAGTGAAATCATACGTTTGTCTCCCACTTTAACATCTTTGATGCAATCGATGAATTCAAAGGTATCCCGAAGAGAATGTTTTGAAATTCGTTCTCTAACAGGTTGTAGGAGTTCTGCTAGCCATTTCGCTATTGGATGATATGGAGATCCCGACATGTCCAAAATAGGGCGCAGTGGAAGACCCTGTTTATGAGTTTTTGGCAATCCGTATAGTCGGGGTATTATTGAACCTGTGGGTCGAATGCTCTCGAAGACATTTTCAGAGATAACTTGATCAGTCTTTAGCTTTCTCAAGATCTCAGTTAGCTGTTTTTCCGTTGCTTCGGTTTTGTCTTTCTCTTTTTCGAATACTGAGAACTTATTGTTGTCTGAGAGAATCGCCATCATTTTATTAATATAATCTTTTCTATCCATTAAGACTATGCCTGTACCTTTGTCAGGACGTGTGATAAGCAATTCTTTGTTCTGCCTCAGTTGGTTGAGTTGTTCTCTATGTTCTTTGGTCAAAAGATTGTTGAACTTGGACTTTGTATTGAGATACTGTTGACAAGAGTCTAGAATAGTGGACTTGAAATGTTTGAATTCTTCTTCGGAAGCTGGGACAAGATCAGTAGTCTGATTGATCAAATTTTCAAACTCGACATAAGTATTGAGCTTGCTTATGTTGGAGTTCATGTCGCAAAATCTTGGCCCGAGAGACAAGGCCTCCAATTGTATGGGAGATAACGTTACTGAAGAATAATTGAACACAAATTTGGTAGGATCTTCTGGAAACTTGCGTCTTGTTTCTGTAGCTTTGAGACTTTTCAATAAGTTAGAATGGATGGATTGTGTACGCTTCTCCGTAACCACAGTGACATAGTCGGTAAATGCTTGTCGTTCATCACAAGACAATTCGTGTAACGCAGAGGATCGTTGCGCTATGTTCCTCTCGAGTTCTGGCACACGTGATATAATGGAATCGATATGGTTCAGAGTATGACGCTTGAGGGATTTAGAGTTCGGATAAATGTGATTGCGACGTAGAGCTTTCCAATACCACTTGGGATATTCATGATTATTCATACAGTCTCTGAGAAAACTAATCTTCGCATTAACTTCAGCAAGCTTGACAGAATATCGCAGAAACCCAATCAGTTCCTTCACTGTCAGAGGGTCCTTGCTTATTTTTAATTCGCAAAATATACACATTAAGACATTGAAATAAGAGACTCTTCGCTGAACTAATTTGTTCTTATTTCAATGTCCTAATGGGTATATTTCGCGAATTAAAAATCACTTCAATCAGCTCTATGTCAACCGAAAGACCCAACAGCGAAAAATGATAAAACCAGCGTCATATACAAAATAAATTGCAATGATTGCGAAAAACACAACATTAGCCAAAGTGGACGCCCTTTTCGTCTTCACATCCAAGAACATAAACTATCCGTCAAAAGACATGATATCCACTCCCTCACATCACTACGCATACAGACAACCACGGACATGAATTCGAATGGGACAACGTTTAAATATTTGACAGGAAACACTAAGAACTCCAGAGAACTTTTGGAAGCCTGGTATTTCAATGAATCAGCAATTAGCAGGCACATCGACACAGAAAAGATTTACCAATCCATAAGAAGATCTCGTGCACAAAAGTTAAACTTCGCGTCAAGGAAACAATCGATACCAATAGAAGTAGACTAGAGGTTGTGAAAACACACAAAAACAATCAGTCATGACGTTCTAGGTCACCAGGAGAGATGATTAATAAACTCATGGAGAAATTAAAATCTCACTTCACGCTGAAATATCTGCACTAAAGATGTTGCCTATTAAGGCAATACAAGCTTCATAAATAAACCATCCAGCTCAGAGAACACTACATCAAAAACTGCAACTCATAATTAACTTGATGTTTTTTCTTCTTTTCTTGCTTAGATTTCACCTACACTTTCCACCCCCATATTCATCTCTTTTTTTACACGTGCTTTTATCTATTTTATGCATCTCTCTCTGTATCTGTCTAGGCGCCATAACAGTATCCATCGTCAATCCGATTTGGGTTATTAAAACAAGACAGTGTTTACAGTATGAAGAGGCGTTGAAGTCAATGCATAAATCTCCAACAACAGTCCACTTCAATGAGCCAATACCAAAATCTACTTGGAGTGCATTACGTAATTTATGGATAAATGAAGGTTTTCTTGGCTTGTATCGTGGTTATCTACCCGGTTTGTTTGGTGTTAGTCATGGTGCTATACAGTTTATGTTCTATGAACATTTTAAAAACGCCTATAATAAATACCATTACAATAGACCAGTGAATGAAAAGTTGGTAAGTGTGTGTGTATGTGTGTGACATTATTATTATTATTGTTTCCTTTAGTTCCCAGAGGAACATAGGGCTTCAGCCGCACGTGTCGGTTGCGTTCGGTTCTCCGCCAACGTTTACACCTGGCTACACGTCTGTCATCTCTTCACATGACCTCCTCCACATAACCCTCGAACAACCAACTCGCCACTTCCCATTCGGATTTTACTCGAGAGCCTGTCTTGTGATGTCACTCGATGGTTGTCTCAGAGTATGGCCAGCCAATCCACCTCCATTTCTTCCTGCAGATTTGTTGCACAATCGGTTCCTGGTTGGTTCGCGCCCAGAGATCCTTCCCTGTTCCTGATCTTTTCTGGCCGACTATCTGATCTTGAGTATTGAGCGAAGACAGCTGTTGATGAAGGTCTGTAGTTTGTTTGAGGTGCTCTTCACAACGCGCCAAGTCTCTGATCCGTATAGTAGCACTGACTTCACATTGGAGTTGAAAATCCGGATCTTATTTTTCATGCTGAGTGCTGTTGACCTCTACACAGACTTGAGAGTAATGAAAGGTATGTGTGTGACAAAGCTGTCCTATTTCTTCCTTCGTAAAGTTTTTTTTAAATTCCTAATTCTTTCTGGTCATTTGATCTCCAATATATGGAGCCAGAGAAGTGGGCAGCTAGTTGATGGAGGTTCACAGTAGCCTGCTAGAAATGCTTTTCGTGACACGCTGGCTAAGTTTCTGTCTGACATAGAAGAACTGAGTGACTGACTGAGCACTGGTGTTGTTTATGCTGTGGTGTACAGAAGATTTCCAATCTGATTTCAGAGTAAGGAAAGTCTGCGTTGCCTTTCTGACCATGGCTGGCTTTGACATTCTCATTCGTTCTATCTGCCTGTAGTTGAAACGATGCTGCCTGGCCAGATAAGTGAAGGAAGTAACCTTTTTCAAATTTCTCCCATTGATAGTGATTGTTGTTTCTAGTTGTTGTTGTTGGTTCATTGGGTATTTTCATCACCTCCGTCTTTTATCTATGTTCACTTGAAGTCCTGTCTTCACTGTTTACTTCTTCCGCCAACTTGTTGTTGGTTTTTGTCGGTAAGTCTTCGAATTTATGCGACATTATGCATAAATCGTCCGGGAAGTCCAAACTAATATATGATGAAGTTAACAGAATGGTTATATTATTTGTTATTTTTATTTTTTATTTTGATTTACAGCTTGATTCCACACCGTATTTTCAGTACAAGTGTGGAATTTTCAGCATGGATATCGGTAGCCCAAATTCAGGCCGACCATAGATATCGGGTGTGCGCCGGCAGGGGATCGAACCCTGGACCATGTGCATGGTCGGCGAGAGTCCTAACCACTGTGCCACCGACGCATACTTGAAATTTAGTGTTTTCCCCTTTCATTCTAAATGATAACGCTATAAATAGCTGGGAGTTGTTCACATAAAGCTAAAATTGTACTCATCTAGTGAAAAAGAAGTGGTCTAGTTAACAATGAGTTGTTTCACTCATTCATTCGACGACCTGAGCTCATTCATTAATCAACCAGATAGGTACCGTTTCTAAACACACACTCTAAAGTGATGTGATGAATTCTGCAAAAGTTTGATATTTCAAATCCGAAAAGTGGTAATAATAATAATAATGACATGTATCACAAACATGCACAGAATGATGGCAATACCAAGGAATTTAAATCATCAGTAATACTTCTATACTAAGAAGGAGCCTCGAAAACCTTACGGAGAATTCTTAACAATGCAGGGAGGGATGAAAGTGGCATTCAACCCATCCACAAACTCACTTAGAAACAAACTTTGTCGGTTAAAGTGTCTATCCTGTAGAGCCAATTCAACAGAGCAATTATCTAATAACCTGTCTGCAATGATTGTCAGGTCAAAGTAGTAGAATGGTGTCAGTCAGACTGATGGAGCACAAACACCTTTCAAAATCTAGATTAGTTGACCCTAATAAAATGAGAAATCTGGAGAATAGTTCAGCCGTGATTATACTAGATGCAATTACACACAACCACAAAAATAGGATGGGATAAGGTGACACTCTTAAAATTTAATATAACAACAGGGGGGAGGGAGAGATTGATGACGGAAGCTTTGTTTATTGAATCAACTGGAAACACCTGTAATAGGAATGATGCAACACCTGTCCCGGAAATATCTATGATTCCACGACCCCTCTGACGGAATGAGAAGGAATAAAGAAAACTATAAAACGAAAGTTTCAAAGTTGTATGATTATAATTGTGTGTTATATTGTGTTATAAACTTTGTCACCCAGTAAATAATATTGTTTTGCTGAATGTGTGACATACCTGAAAAACAAATTCTCAGCAGTTCGCTCTGTCCTCCTTTATGGCTGTCAGTCCTGGCCATTGAAAGTGGAGGACATGAAAAGGTTAGTTGTCTTTGATCATAAGTGTCTGCGTTCTATCTCCCGTGTGAAGTGGTATAATAGGGTGAGCAATATTGAGGTTAGGCGTCGAGTGCTAGGTAAAGAGGGGAAATCAATCGATGAGGCTGTGAAGCTACATCGACTGAGATGGTTAGGACATGTGTTACATATGCCTAGCCATCGCCTTCCTCGACGGGCAATGTTAGCTGACATAGGGTCAGGCTGGAAAAGAGCTAGCGGTGGTCAAACGAAAACATGGCACCAGTCAATGAAATCTACAACAGTTAGTTTAAGCCACGTAGGAAGGTGTAAACTTCCTGACTGGTTGGGGTCCTCGGGATGGTAAAAACGAATGGTTGGAAAGAATTGGTGATATGGCTCAAAATCGTTCTCAGTGATGGCGCAGATGCATCCACTCCTTGTGACTCATGATTTCCAATGAAACTGTTTTGTTCTTCGTTATTACTATTCCTTTGTCTCACATCTCTGCTTACTGTCTCTATTTTGCATTTCTTTTTACTTTCTTCCCTTGCTTTGTGTGCCACATGGAGTGTGGCTACTCGAACTGCTTCAGTTGTGTGCAAAGTTCTATGTTGAAACTAGTCAGCCATCCTACTCTAACAGATTATCTATAGCCTTTTTAATACAATCCGAAAACTTTTGCCAATCATGTGGTGATATGTTTGTTAACAATAATTAGTCAGTATCAAAATGTCACCGGTTGAGGGTTATAATTAACGAGGGAAATTAATGCAATCGGTGTGCAATTAGGCAGGTTCATCATCGTATTTTCAGACATCATCTTGCATGGTTAAGAAAACGACAAACAAGATCTACTCGTAGCTCTGTTTCAACACACCTTGTAGACTGTGAGCATTAAGTTGATGTTAATACAACATTTAGGGTTATTTATCGCATTCCTACTAATCTTAATTTTGCTTTACGAGTTCTTCGTCTATGTACAGCTGAAGCCAAACTTGTGTGTTCAGAAGAAATTCGTACAGCCACTTTCCTTACCTAGGTCATCTTTCTATGAATGTATAAACCCGACCACTTCTTCCTCCTCCCAAACCCCTTTTAAAAAATCATAATTGTCCAAATTATTTTATTATTTTTCTTCTGACTACTTACAAGTTATCATCGTCCAAATTATTTTATTTTTCTCTAATCACCTATTACGTAATCAACTTGAACACTCGTTAATTCCTTAATTACTCTTCATTTTTGCAAAATTATGCATTACATAATTCTCTTGTTGGAATCATTTCCACCCTTTGAATGTGTGTAACAATTTTTCCTCGTTAATTATTACCCACAGTCGGTGATATGTTGAAATCGACTAATTATTGTTAAGAAACGTATTGCTATTTGATTGGTAAAATGTTGTGTATCGTATTAAAGATGCTGTAAGTGTATATTAGAGTGTAGTTATCGTTGAGGATGCAATTGAAAAGCGAAATATTCCTTCGCTCAATCCTTTTGCTTTCTAAATGTCTAAATGGGGATTTTCTTTTCTTCGATTGCTTGGCTTTCCGAGTGAAGCATAAGCTGTGGAAGCTTTAGCTTGGAAGTTTCATTGGCGATGGTGATTTTGTTTTACGGGAATGGGTTTGCTAGTTCCACTACTGTTGCTTCTCTTATCACGGGGCCTGCTATCTATCAGCTAAGTAAGGTTTTAGGAGTGTGTCGGCCGGAAGTGGAACCCGGATTATGTTCATGCACGATTGACACACGAGTATTTTACCACTAAACAACCACCGCAGTGCTTCGTAGTTCTACTGTTATTGTTCATTGATTTTAAGCACATTTATGTATTCTGGAAAGTGATTGTGAATCAGTTTAATCATTGGCTATGTCGAATGATGATGTATTCAAGGACTGACTTTTACAGCGGGGTGCAGGGGGTATAAAAGGGAAGTCTGGTAAATCATCCTTGTTTAAAATGATTTTTGATACATTTCATGACTGTGGGTGGATTAATACGCAAGTATAACGATCCTGTTATCTCATCGGAGTACAGAATACGACTTTTTCTTCCCCATCAATACCTTATGCTTCAGAGTGAGTCATGAAAATGCTTGTGGACAAAGACTGCGCATGTAATGATGCTGCAGGACTGGACAACATCGACTCACCCCCAGCTTCAAGATAGGCATGAGTGAAGTGGTGGCTAAGCGTGTCGACCACTTCACTGATTTGGCAAGCTATATTTACTCCAACGATCTGATAGTTGACAAACTCTCATCACGGATACAGAAGGCTCGTGTGGCAGTTGCCAATTTACTCCATCTTTCACTTAATAGACGTGATATCCGACTGGCTATCGGTCAAACGGCTTGTGTACTGATTAGCAGAACTTCTCTCCGTCGTCCTTTATGGTTGTCGGTGAGGTATGTCCATTGAAAGTGGAAGACAGGAAAAGCCTGATTAGCTAATTCATCATAGGTGTCTGCGTTCTCCATACATACCACGTTCGATAGCAGGTGTAATAGAGTGGTTGAGTAATATTGAGGTTAGTCTTCGGTCGAGTGATAGGTAGGTAAGAAGGGAAAATAAATGGACGAGGTTGTGAAGTTACATCGGTTGAGTGAGATGGTTAAGACAACATGTGTTACGCATTTATTAGCCCCTCCCCGACGGGAATTGTAAGCTGACTAAAGCAGGATGGATCAGGTTGGAAAAGAGCCAGATAGTGGTGGTCAAACCAAGAGATGGCTTCATCAGTCAACCAAATCCATAACAGTTAATTTAAGCCAGCGAGGCAGTCAGTGACGCAGGGAGGTGTAGACTGGCTGGCTGGCTAACTGGATGGTAAGAATCAATGGCGGCTGAAGACAGACAGTAAGTGATATGGCTGAAACTCCTCGTTCTAAATGGAGTGGGCAGATGCACTCACTCTTTGTGAGTGATTTGTTATCTCCATCCAATAAAACTCTATTGTTCTTGCATATTACCACTGTTCATTTTCCCTGGCTCATACTGCTGTTTATGATCTCTCTTTTGAATCTCTTTACTCTCTTCTCTTGATTTGTGTGCTACATGGAGGGAATGCGGCAACTCGAACTGGTGCACATCTGTGCAAAGTTTCTATGTTGAACCCAGTTTTTTCTCTACCTATGTGTGTTAACTGCCGCATTTTGGTTGCAAGTTATACGCTGAAAATTCAGTCAGTCTTGAAATTAAGCACTGGTGAATTGTGGTTATGTTTAACAAGAATTTGTATACTCGTTGGGGATAGAGGGGAAAATAACTATCGTCACATAGCGATTAGATAATATAGTAATAATAAATTGTAAAACCGAGCTGAAAATGTGGAGTTACAGCATAGCATGTTGTTGATATTACAGTTAGCATCACAAATAAAATAAAGAGATTTCATTAACAGATAGCCGGTGTCACCGGGACAAAAACTATTTTACATTAGAGGTAGATAAAGACCAACAGAGGGAGAGGTATTGGAAAAACTTTTTCTGAACACAGAGATTGAGTTGAAAAGTCGCCTCAGCTATGCTTAGCGACCGAAGATGTACCAATCTAGTGAATAGAGTTGAGATGGCACCTTGTGGACAATTGGAAAAGCTGAACTTTTGTTAGTCTTGTTCTCTGTGTACACCAGGTGTGCCAGTTTGAAACTGTTGACTAACTTTACGACTCCTTTACCTAACTAACAACGTTAGACATTGCTCAAGAAGGTGACGGTGGGCTTCTCTAGTGAGTCATTGTAGCAATGCAACTGCTCCACAAGGATAGTTACACTTATAAATGCACACTGAGGTGACTAGACTCGGTGGCTTATCTCTATACCTACGTTGGAATTATACAACAAGTGCCGAATTTTAAACACAATGTTGCTGCGAAGAATGTTTTAGCTATTACTTTTCGGAGTTTCACTGCCAGTAATTCAGTGGCTGTGTATACTTCAAACGGTAAAGTCATATAAAATCATATATATACTCGTTTCTTCTGTACCGTTTGTAGGTATTCCTCTCTATCTATTCTGATCATGGAAGCTTAAACAAATTTTTCTGAATGTCCGTTCTCATATGATACGTTTTCTATTTTCCTTATTTCATCGTCCGGAATACCGGTTGTACAGATTTTTCTAGCTCAAAACATTAGGGTTACTGATGAGATTTCGTTTCCATGTAAGAGGAACAAACGACTTGAAATAAGTATATTTAACAGGCTACAATTTTATGATTATCATATGGTCTAATCACTATATGACAGTGATTATTTTCCCTTCTGCCCCTACTAGTATACATATTCTACCTATACACTCACCATTACCTAGGCTGTATAAACACCTGTATGAATTTATCCTTGTTATTATTATTATCATTATGATCGCCTCGATTATTATCATTATTATTTTCTTGGGTTCCGGGTGGAACATAGGGCTTCAACAACACATTTCCACTTTGTTGTATTCTTTGCTATCCTCTTCAGCTGGGTCAACGATTACCCATAATCTCTCACCTCCTCTTCGCCACACGATCTCCTCTACGTCACCCTCGGATGAACCACTGGTCGCTTCTTATTGGTATTCCACTAGAAGTTATGCCTGGCGCGCAATGTCATTCGATGGCCTCTTCATTGTGCGCCCAATTCATCTCCATTTTCTCCTACATATATGTTGAGTGATCGGCTCTTGGCTGGTTTGTTGCGAGCCAGAGTTTTTGTTGGTAATTCTTTCTGGTTGGCATTTGGTCTTCAATAAGGAGCCAGCTAAGGCGGCTGTTGATCAAAGTCTGCAGTCAATTGACATATATCATTAGCGAAATCCAGATCTTCTAGAGTCTTCTTATCGGTCCAACGCATGCCTGTCTCCTTGCTCCCCACAGTATGACGTATAATCCAGTCCACCATAATTAAGAATATCATGGTAGGTGATAATAGACAACCAGTCTTGTCTTACTCCTGTATTCACCTCGAATGCCTCGCTGAGTCTTTCATTGTGGATCATCTGACACTTGGCATTGTCATATAGCTGTTGTTGTCCATTAATTCACATATCCTTGAACTCTGGTCTTATTTAACCTATTAACCATATTAATTCATATACCTACGACTAATATTTCATTGTGTAATTATGTAAAGCCTTATGAGAACTTACCGAAAGTACGTATTCGCTTGCTTAAATCGTGTTCTATAATTATCATTTTACAGAAATATTTAAATTCAAGAGGAATTTCCCTTTTTTTCATCTTCATATCATCCAATTTTTTCGTTTTGATTCACTTGATATGATATAAAATGTATTTCTGAGATACACATTAGTTAGTAACTAGTGTCATTTATCTAGTCCTTTGTTTCTGGTGCAGACTGAATTATATCAGTCAGTCTAGTTTGCAACGTGGCCACCAACCGGCTAGGTGGCTTGCTATCATGGTTCACTTTGTATTATTGATATTAGATGGTTGAAGGCAATAGGCAGGAAGCCTTGCTTGACCTAGGTTTCGTGCTGATTGGCACTCATCAGCAAGGCGTATCTTCAATCACCTTAAAGGGAGTCATATATCCTCTCAGATTCCAACTCATGTCATCCATTGCTGCAGTCAAAGATGTAACTGCTGTGCTATTTATTTGGGTAGCTCAAGTTCGAATCTCAGGAGGGTGTTGAGTTCCTTCAAGGTGACTGGAGATGCGCCTTGCTGACTGACCTGGTAAGTGCCAACTAACCCGAAATCTAGGTCAGGTAAGGCTTTCTACGGATTGCCTTCAACCATTTAATATGTTCAATTTTTATTACACAGTGTTTATTATTTGCTTATATAAATTGTTGTTTTTTATTGGTTTATCTCATTTCAGTCGGCTCTTGAGTATTTAACATTCTCCTCCACGTCTAAATTGATTGCAGCTGTGATAACATATCCTTATCAAGTGATTCGGTCAAGAATGCAAGATCAGCATAGACAGTATAATGGAGTTATTGATGTTATTCGACAATTATGGAGGTTTGTTGGTCCATGTTTTCCCTTTTTACTAGGCTTAAATTTAACTATTAGCCATTTTCAGACTATGAGATTGCGCATGAAATTAAATCTAATATTGTTAGCCGGTTGATGGTTGTTGGCAGCTGTGAATGGTCTACCAGCTCTCCTTGTAACCAGGACGTCCTGCGTTCGATCTCCGTTAGTCGGTGGGTTCCAAACTAGATTGATGAAACAGCTCTCCAGTATTCCAGTACTGGTTTTCAATGGTTCGCTAACTGATGTCAACTCATGATGAAATCCTGAATCCATTTTAGCTGATTTGAGGCTCGTCAGCTAGATGTATATCTTCATTCCGATTGAGTGAATGAGTGAGTTATAGTGTTTCCACTGATACTTCAACCTCTGCATCTATCGTGGTTCCAAAAACCAGTGTTATCCAAAGATACAAAAGGCTCGTGTGGCGTTTGCCTAACTTAAATCATCTGTGGTGTGGACGGGATATATACAGCCATTGATCAAACGACTCATATAGTGCTCAGCAGTTAGCTTTGTTCTCCCTTTATGACTATGAAACGTGTGGCTATTGAAAGTGTAAGATAGGAAGACGCTATTTTTTATCATGAGTGTTCGCGTTCTGTCTCCCATGTTAGGTGGTATAATATGATTATTATCATCATGTTATTGTTCCCTTGGGTTCCGAGTGCAACATATGTCTTCAACAACACATCTCCACTTTATTCTATTCTCTGCGGTCCTCTCCAATTGGATCCACGATTACCCACAGCGTCTCATCTCCTCACACAATCTCCTCCACATCACCCTCGGACCAATGTCCAACTTGTCGTTTCCGATTCTGGTTCCACTCGAAGTTATGCCCGGCCAATGATGTCATTCGTGTACCCAATCTATCTCCATTTTCTCCTCACCTAGTTTACTAGCTCATTAGTTTTCTAGCTGGTTCCAGGCCCGGGGAAAAAGAGAGGGTTGGGCTTGGGGTTAGCGACTCTACCCCCTCCCCCGTCATCGAAAACCAAACAAACTGCTACAGAGACTTCAATACACAAGAAAAATAAAAATATAGAAAACAGACTTCTTTTTCTCAGCAATAGGAGAGCCGAAATGATGCGGGCTGGTGAAAGCCTTCTGGAAGCCAGTCAGTGAGCTGATGTGTCTTCTCTTGATGAAGGCAAGATTAAGAATGTGTACAAAGCTGGGAAGGCTACCATGGTAGCGAAAGAAATGAAAAAATATAACATGGAACTGCTCGGAATCTGTGAGTGCAGATGGAATGGATGTGGACTATAGACACTGTCAAATGAAGAGTCAGTAATCTACTCCGGTCACCCAGACGACAACCACACATTTGCGTTCGGTATGGTGGTTCTGAATATTTCTATCGACCTTTGTATGCGTGTGTGTATCAACTTGAAATGCTCCACTTTTGTGCAAAGGTCCACGTTGCGAACTCATTGAATCATCGAACCACGAGAGCCACCACTTGTTCAATAGGTATCAGGTGCTGTGAATTATAATCTTTTAGGGACATTGAGCACCTTTGACTTTTTATTTTGTGAGTTCACGAATTTAGTCAGATATTCGTTTCTACTTAGTAAATCTGTTCTTCGGTAGCACAGCTGTAGAATGCTCGCCAGCCATGCAGGTGGTCCTGGGTTCGATCCTCGGCTGACTTACCCCTTTACCTCACCAAGCCAATAATAAGACTGGCATAGAGGGAAGGTTGGGCATGAGACTAGCAACTCCATCCCATTAAAAATAAACACCACTGCTAAAGAAACTTCAAGCCTGTAGTTTAAAGCCCCCTATGTTCCACTGGGAACGTAAAGGAATAAAAAAACTGAGTAGATCATGAATATTATCGATTTCCTCATTCAGTGTCTTTTAACCTCTTAATTTTGGTCCCCCCACACTCTATACCTAAAATTGACTAACTATAATAACCACTTGATTGGTAAAAAAATTTTCATTTAAAAAACTCCCCTTATTTTTTTTCAGAGGTGAAGGCGTGCATGGATTTTACAAGGGACTTGTACCGCACATCCTTCGATGTACACCAGCCTGTGGAATAACATTTCTTGTATATGAATACACGTTAATCGCTTTCGATTGGTTCAAATAACAGTGGTGATTATATTTGCTCTTATTGTGATTGCATTTCTTCTCCACTGAAAGGAAGAGAAAACCCCCTTTTCCCATACAACAATAAATCATGTAGATGATATCTGACCCTTGTTTTGCGTGGGGGCGGGGGAGGAGGGAGGAGCATAAACGTGTGATAACTTTTCACTGCCTATACCGGTGGATTGTATATTGTAATGCTTAGTATCATTATTATTGTTAGTTTTTGTACATACAGTTTACTGTTTCACTCCCAATATTATTTTAGAATTGATTCGTGTTATTTTGTATTCTTTTCAATATACATTTAATGCCTAAAACTAATAACGCTAGTAGAATGAGTGGGGTACTACAAAAATACATAAACCAGGTTATCCCATACGACCAATAGTAGATTTCAGAAATACCCCTATTTATGAATTATCAAAACAATTAGCTCTAATATTATACCCCATTAGAAATCGTTCAAACTCTAGATTAACTAATTCATGTGGGATGAAAAATAAACTAAGTGACATTCAACTAGAGAATGATGAAACAATGGTTAGTTTTTGATATAACTAGTCTTTATACTGATATACCAATCAACATGGCAGCCTTAGAAGCAGTTGAAAGAGAACTAACTGCAGATCCTGAACTTACTCATAGGACAAAGCTGCCCATTGAGAAAATTATTTTAGGAATTCAGTTATGCCTCACATCTACTGTCTTTAAATTCCAGGGCAGAATATATAGACAAACAGAAGGTGTAGCGATTTCGATGGATCACCAATATCTTTATGGACATCTGGGAAAATATTGCTCTTAATACATTTAATCCTACTCCAAAAATATGGTGGAGATATGTGGATGACACTTTCACAGTGTTAAAAATGGAATATATCGGTAGCTTCTTGACGCATATAAACTCACTAGTAAAGCGAATAAAATTCACATTTGAGTCGCAAAATGAACAAGGAGAATTAGCCATGATGTTAGATTGTAAAATCAAACGAACAAGAGAAGGTGAACTGCACACCAGTTTTTATTAAAAAAAACCAACGCATTCTAATAGATATTTAGACTTTAATTCCTGGTTTATTAAAAATCCTCAGTAGGGTCTCAGATATCCCCTCCTTAAATGATAAAACTGCAGAAGCTTGATATTCTTTTTTATCTATGCTATCATTATTAGTTTCACTATTTTTTTATTTTGCTTATGACCTTTCCTGATCTTCCTAATGAATTTTATAGGATAGTTTTTTAACACCAACGCTTCTTATTCTATCTTTTTCATTTCAACAATTAGGTTTTTTGTTGTACTACTTAGTGCTGTCATTGCTCTGTTTGTTAGACACTTAACTAAGCCTGCCTTCACAGACAACGAACGGGTGAGATGAATTAGAGTGGCATTTAAACCTGCAAACTCACTCAGGTAGGACAAGGTCTATAGGTTAAAGGACCCAGTTGACCCACTTAGACAAAATAGTGTACTTTACAAAATACCTTGCAATGACTGAGTTAAGTCAACTACATAGGTCAAACTAGTAGATCGGGAGTAGTCAGATTGTCAGAATATACGAATTTAGCTAGGGTTAGAATGGTTGACCCCGCGAAGATAAGTAGTTTTGAAAAAAGCTCAGCGATTGCACTGTATGCATTAACACACAATAGGGTGGGACAGAGTCAAAATTTTAAAAAGTTATCTAGGTAGATGGAGAGAGAGAGGTTGATTACTGAATCTTGCCTGGTTCATCGAGTCTACACCCAACACATGCAATGGAAATGACTCAATACAAATACCAGAGATATGGAAGATATTATTACCACCAGTCAGTCAAATCAGAGGTGGATAATCAATAATATTAAAATGTATTCAGTTCACATTCCAACAAGTTATTTATTTATTTTGACTATAAAAACACACGTCTTATTTTCCATCTGATTGTATTTGATTGATAACACTAATATTATTTCTGAATGTACTTTATCTTATATTGATTTTATTCAAATGTCTAATCGCATCAATTTTTACTCATGTATATAAATGAAGCAAGAAAGTTGTGGGAGTGAGTGTCTTGATATGATTATGAGTGGCAATAATTTGTCCTCGAAACGAGGGCATCAGTTAATATTACTGTACAACACTGTGTGATTTATCAAAATAGAATCTTATGCCTAATGGGAAAAGTCCCCATTTAAACATTTAGAAGGCTAAAGGATTGAGCGAAGGAATATTCCGCTTTTCAATTCGATCCTCAACGATGGCTACACTCTAATATACACCTGTAGCAGTTTTAGTACAATACAAAACCATTTTGCCAAACAAGTGGCGATATGTTTCTTAACAGTTACTAGTCAGTATCAACATGTCACCGACTAAGTGTGATAATTAACGACGAAAAAATACTGCGCACAATTAAAGGGTAGTAATAGTCACAACAGGAGTGTTGTATCACGTATAATTTTGCAACAATGAAGAGTAGAAGTTAATTGGTGGATGGTGACTAACAGTGGAATCCAGAATGTACATTTCATCGCATTTGGGACTCGTATCTAGATGTACCTACATTCCGAAGTGAGTGATGATGTTCCCACTGAGGCTGGAACCCAGTGGCCATAGTTTCAAGCGCCAAAGGGTAATCTACTAAACCACTTAGGCCACGAGAGCCACCTCTTGTGCAACGGGTCAAATTAATTATTTAATTCAATTTTCAGATTTTCCCAGACATCGTCGAAGCATCTGCACAAGAATCCGACATGTCAGCATGAGACTGAGCACTTCGGTCCAATCAGTCGATGGGAAAGTCTAAAATTGAATTAAACAATGAATAGTAATTAAGGAACTAACGAGTGTTCAGGCTGATTACGTAATAGGTGATTAGAGAAAAATAAAATAATTTAGACGATGATAACTTGTAAGTAGTCAGAAGAAAAATAATAAAATAATTTGGACAATTATGATTTTTTAAGAGGCTTAAGGGGAGGGAGAAGTGGTACGGTTTATACATTCAGGTAACGATTGTCAAGGTGAGGAAAGTGGCTGCACGAATTTCTTCTGAACACAGAGGTTTGACTTCAGCTATATGTAGACGACGATTTCGTAAAGCAAAATTAAGATTACTAGGAATGCGATAAGTAACTTTGAATGTTGTATTAACATAAACTTAATGCTCACACTCTACAAGGTGTGCTAAAACAGAGCTACGAATAGATCTTGTTTGTCGTTTGCTTAAACATCCAGGATAATGTCTGGAAATACGATGATGAACTTGCCAAATCGCTCGCCCAATGTACTAATTTCCCTCGTTAATTATCACCCTCAACCGGTGACATTTTGATACTGACTAATTATTGTTAACAAACATATCGCCACTTGATTGGCAAAAAGTTTTTGGATTGTATCAAAATGCTGCACATAAGATATATTAGAGTAGAGCCAGAGATGAGGACGCCAAGGACTTCTGCGTGGATACGGAAGACTCGTTTGGCATACACAATCTCTCGCTCAGTAGACGTGATATCTGACTGGCTATCGATCAAACGACGTGTGTACTGCTCAGCGGCACTTATCCCCGTCCTCCTTTATTACTGTGAGTGAGACATGTTCCTGAAAGTGAAAGACATAAAAAGTTTGATTACCTAGCTGGCTGTTTTTCATCATAGGTGTCTGAGTTCTCTACATCCCATGTTAGGTAACAGGTGTAATAGGGTATTATTATTATTATTATTGTTCCCTTGGGTTCCTAGTGGAACATAGGGCTTCAACTGCACGTCTCCACTTGCTTCTGTCTTCTGCTGTTCTTTTCACTTGCGTCCATGTTATTCCATACTGTTTCATCTCCTCCTCACACGATCTCCTCCATGTCACCCTTGGACGTCCCACTCGCCGCTTCCCTTTCGGGTTCCACTCGAGGGCTTGACGCGCGATGTCACTCAACGGCCTCCTCAGCGAGTGTCCAATCCATCTCCACTTCCTCCTGCATATTTGTTGGGCGATTGGTTCCTGTTTCGTTTGTTCCCATAGCTTCTTGTTTGTGATTCTTTCCGGCCATCTAATCTTCAGTATGGAGCGAAGACAGTTGTTGATAAAGGTCTGCAACCTGTTGAAAATATTCTTGGTGACCCGCCAAGTTTCTGATCCGTAAAGCAAAATTGACTTGACGTTTGTATTGAAAATCCGAATTTTGTTGTTGATACTGAGTGACGAAGATTTCCAGATTGGTTTCAGGTTGATGAATGTGTTTCTCGCCTTCCCGATTCTCGATTTGACATCCTCGTCCGTTCCTCCTGTGGTTGAGACAATGCTCCCCAGATAAGTGAAAGAAGTAACCTCTTTCAAATCCCTCCCGTTGATGGTGATTGGCACTGGATGTTGCTGCTGTTGTTGGTTGGTTATTTTCATAACCTCCGTCTTGTCTATGTTCACCTGGAGTCCTGTCTTTGCTGCTTCTTCGACCAGTTTGTCGGTTTTTGCTTGTAAGTCTTCGATTTTGTGTGACATCAAACATAAATCATCCGCAAAATCCAGGTCTTCTAGGTTCTTCACGTCGGTCCAGGATATCCCTGTCTTCTCGTTTCCCACTGTCTGACGCATAATCCAGTCCACCACAATTAGGAATATCATTGGTGATAATAAGCACCCTTGTCTGACTCCTGTGTTTACTCCAAACGCTTCGCTGAGTTTTCCGTTGTGGATCACTTGACATGTGCCGTTGTCGTACAGTTGTTGAATAAGGTTGATGAATATTTGGGGTACGCCGTAGTACTCGAGTAGTTTCCAAATTACTTCGCGGTCAACGCTGTCGAAGGCCTTCTCAAAGTCTATGAAGTTGAGGTAGAGATTTGATTGCCATTCCATGCTTTGTTCGATGATAATGCGTAGAGTTGCAATTTGGTCAGAACATGATTTGCCTTTCCTGAATCCAGCTTGTTCTGGTCGGAGTTCTGTATCCAGCGCGTCCTTGATTCTCTCCAGGATGATGTGACTCAGGATTTTACTTGGCGTCGACAGGAGCATGATTCCTCGCCAGTTCTTGCAGAGTCCCAGGTCGCCCTTCTTTGGTAGTTTCACCAGGTAACCTTTCCTCCAGTCAGTAGGCACCTTTCCCTCTTTCCAGATCTTTTGCAATAATGGGGTCAGCATATCTGCCGTCGTTTCTGGGTCCGCTTTCAGTGCTTCCGGGGGTATTCCATCTGGTCCAGCTGCTTTTCCAGCTTTCAGAAGCTTGATTGCATTCATGACTTCAGTTTTCGTTGGAGGATTGGTGTCAACTTGCAGTTGTGTACGTGCT